TCGGGCGGCGCGCAACGCGCGTATGAAAAGCCGACGATTTAACGGCTTCGCCAACTTCACGTTCTCTTTGTTGGCTTAACGTCGCTTACAAGCATCTTTTTTACCAATTACACGCCGGACGTTGCCGGACTTGGCAAAAGCCGGGGTTTCTTCCCGTCCTGCCACGAGGAACGACCGACCGGGCTCAATTATGAATGAAATCTTGTTTGCAGAAATCGTGCACTACGGTAGGCAGCGGCATTCGAGGAACGGCGCACCGAAGTTTAACGATCTCCGCCGTAGGAGAACACGTAGCCTCGCTGAGTTACGCGGAGGAAAAATAAATGCGCGACAGATGGAAAAGCACGGACAGTATACAAATCTGTCCTTCGTATTTCATGAGTGCGACGGTGTAATGGACAATTCCGGAAATGATATCGCGAGCCAGGGAACAGTCGCGGGAGTACGCGGTCCGCTTCCCCCGCAGCGTTGCGACTTAAAGCCTACGCGACATGCATAAAAGATTTATGCAAATATCCAATCAGGTCTGGATTCTGACGCCCGGATCCACTCGCTAAACGCGAAACATCTCTCCTTGGAGATGAGATCATTTGAGATTATTACCCAGTCGTGATTAATGCACTAATGATGCAGTATTCCGTCCGATTGCCGACGCGTCAATTATTCAAAACGCATAAATGGGAAATTCGGTCCAGTTTCGTAGTCGCGGAATCGATTTCCCATTATTGCCGGCGCGAGACGATTTCCCTCGATATACGATGAGCGAGTCGAATGATGAATTTATAACAGATAGGCGTTTAAGGGAGTGATTTGCTTGAGCAATTATTAAAAGCTGAACAAATATATATCTGCCACTTTATTCACTGATATGAGCTTTTCGACATCGCCATACATTATCACGACTCGATTGAATCAATAATTCTTGAAAGTCTGGATAAAGATTTCCCGAACCTGTGTGAAACGCGACCCACTTTGTAGAATGGCTAACACCCGCGACTCACTTAGCTCTAGTGGATACGAAAATGCAAGGGCGGGAGGATGTTAAATTGATTATTTATTTATATCACTTTATTTATACTCCACCGCTCTTACTTTTTAATTTTTTTATCGAATATAATTTTATAAATCTATTTTTTAGATATATAATGTATGTGTAAAGAACGGGCTTGTTTCCTATTTTTATTGATGAAAGTTTGTAGTGAAAGCTTGAAAGTTTGTAAAACTACGCGAAATAATGAAGTGTAATTTAACACTCTAAAATTTTTGGATTACTAATGGATCGCGACCTATATTTTGGGAATATCCGGTCGAGACCACTTAATGTACACGTCGCGACGGAAAATGCATACAGATACGGAAGCGTAATTATATATGTCTGTTTTCATCGCCCGTCTGTATTAAAGTTACCAATTACATCGTGAATGTTGCTTTAAAATGCCGTCTGTTGTTTTTGGCACACATTGTACCGTTCCGATATTCCGAATACGCAGTTTCCGATCTCATCGATCATGGTATATGTATTAATCACCACGCGACGTCCGCTATCAATTTGCCGCTACGCGAACGTGTGGCTCTCGGTGGGTGCGTAGGTACGACGCATGCTAATCGTACTTAACATATACTAATAAAGCGTAACAAGCTCGTCATATATATTTAACGCTAAGCACGTTGAGGATTTTCGAGATTGAGAATTCGACGCGAATCGAATCGCCATGGTTCACTGGAAGTGGAACATCCCATTGCTTGATTCTCGCAACGAGATAACACGAGTCACGGATCGCCGTGAGATAATGTAACGAAATCGCAAACATGATCGTGAAACGTGGCGATCGAAACTGCGGGGAAAGGCCGTATAATCGTCGAATTTAATAAGCCTCCTGTTTTCAAGAACACTATGTTAACAATGCTATGTGTATATATTTGAGATCCATTTGGAGAAAGATAAAAAGAGAGAAAAATTGCGAACGAATGTACGTAAGGAAATGAGAGGCGGCTTCATAATAATGTCAGGAACAATAACTTCGCATATTCGCCCTGGGATTAAGATGCTCGTAAATCAATATATTTAGAATTAACACTTAAAATTCGACTCATTAACTAGTAAGACTACCTTTGTGTTACTCGCCGAATTTATTGGAACTCAATACACTAATTGTAGAGTAGTCAAAAATAATAAACACTTTTTTTTTTATATCAGCAATAGTGCAATTTTTTAAATGAGGACTATCTCTTGTATTCATAAGCACGAGTAATTAACTCGTTATATTTAAACTCACGGTATATTTTTGAGTTTTTGGATTTCATTTATATGTAGGAAGTGCGAATAAAAGCAGCGAACCTATTTTGAATCGCAAAACTCTCCGCTCTCTCTGTAGCTCATTTTTATTTATTTTTGTATTAGTATCATAGAGTGATATTCAGACGTTGCGCGCATTATATGTTGGGTACTTAAATTTAACGGATGTAATTCGTTAAAGATATTCGAGAGTCTACAACGCGAATCCGATCTCTATAATTAAACTGAAAGCAGAGCGTCTGTTGTAGTCCCCTAAGAAGATAACATAGATGCAGGTCATATCTTCCAATTAGATAATTCGATGTAATGAAATTTTCGTGTAATGAAAATGTAAACACGATCCGGCGATGAATCACATCACAAAAATTCCGCGTGACCCTGAGGACATGCCTCGTTCTGTTATTAAGACACAAGTTAAAAGCTTCGCTGCGTTTTCCGATATCGCGGCACCGTCGAAAGGCATCGATTTTCAAGGTTATAATTGAGGACTCTTTTTTTCGATACGAGATGTACACACGTTTTCCGGCGAAATTGAATTTCACAGTTTCTTTTTCTTTCTCTTTCTTCCCGAGATGAAAGTCAGTCGCTCAAGCGCGCCGGCGCGGAAAATGAAGAAAAGCGTAGCTACTGCGAGCGTAGTTGAACCGCGTTATCGAAGTGTCGACGTCACTCAATTTAATAGAGTGTTCCTCTCCCTCTCTCTTCTCTTCCCTCTTGCGAAATTGTACAATTTATTCTACGTCAACCGTCGTGCAAACAAAACGAGGCCCATTGTCGAGCGAGCGAAGATGAATCGATTCGGGCAACGTCGACCGCTTAACGAAAAGTACTTGTGTGTTCAGGTAACCCACCGAAACATTTGATCGGTTAATTAACATTCTAGTATCCCCATTAGTGAACGTTCGTTGTGACCTCATCACATAATTTGCGCTTTAGAAAATGCTAAAAGCGTGTCCCAAAGATGTGTCGTAACATGTACTCGATGCGTTTTATAATAAAAATAAATTTATTGTTCACATGATAATTATGAACTGTCTGTATGAGGACAAAAAAACGATTTGTCGTTCCGTCACCGCTCTTTCATAGTGTTATTTCCCGTTATTTTGCGCGATAACAACGTATCGGCAAAATTCCGCCTCAATGAGAGCAATGACGCTCCGCTGTATCAATTATAGATTTCTAAATTCAATTCTGGCCGGCGTACCGCGTCAACTCTTTGAATTTTACGCTCATTGCATTAGGTAAAAACGAAATTTAAGGAATGTCACTCGCGGTAGAAATGAATGCTGTAGAAGCTGGAAGCTCTTAATACTTTTTCAATTGAATCTTTCTCTCCGCGAACACAACTCACTGCCAAACTCAATTAGCGGTCGGGCGATATCCACCGTCTTAGTTTCTAGAACGTGAAAAAGCCTATATTCGGAGTGCGTAATAATGCATCGTTCTCTCTCTCTCTCTCTCTCTCTCTCTCTCTCTATTTTACTCTTTCTTTCTCCTTATCTTCAAGATTGGTTAATCCGAAATTACGACGTAAATTAATAGTCGCTGATCGAAAATATATTATCTATAGGTAACGACTGACGGATGAAACAATATTAAACAATTTTTATCCTCATTATTAATTTTGAAATACACATAAGATTTGGACAGGCGTGTGGAAGATCTGTAGTTAAGTATTTGATAAAAAAACAATTCAATTGAAAAGTTGTTAATTTGGAAATACTAACGTATATTATCGTTAATTATATAACCAAAATTTAGAATTAATGTGCTTCTATTTCAAAATATATAATGTGTTTTTATTTCAAAATGAGACAGAAGATATTCATTATGTTGAGTATATTCTGTTTTAGATACATTCATTCATTCATTTTTCATTAAAATATAAGCATTAAAATTGCATATTTTATGAATATTGATTAAGATTCATATCTAATTCCCATCGATAAGCAAATTGAAACGAAGTACTTTTCCATGTTGATTTTTATGTGTAAAATAGGTCAAATAAAAAAATTCGCACTCTCTAAAGTAACGTCTCTTAAAGATATAAATTAATTCGTTTTCTTAGTTTCTTCGAGCAGCGACGTCGTGATGATATTTATTATGTGTCCTGAAGTTACTCTAACAGGATTAAAGTCATTATTTACTGAAAGTAATCTTGGGGAAGACACGTTGCTGTCGGAAATAACGGAAAGACTTTGAGAACCGACTGCTGCACATATGCGCAGCATTCTACATTTTAATCTTCAATGTCGGCGCTTTGAGAAAATTTCCGCTTGGAAATTCGAAACGGCTGCGCTAAACCATTTCTCACGCAACGCGTAGCACGAAGTGGTGAAAGAAGAAGCATCAGCGAGACATCACAGCGCGATGCGGAAGAAGTTGCCAGGGCAAGATACAAAGTTTTCCTCCCGCAGACTGCTCTTTGTCCCTCCATCTTCCCTTTACGACAACCCCGTCGCGCGACCTTCTCGTGCGAAACAAACGGGTTCGCGTCGACGATCAGTATCGTCGTAGTATCGCGCAGAAACGACGTTGGCCGATATGTTCCCGCCACCGTCGTCCCCCGAATCCCATGATTCCAGTGCCGGAAGCGGCCTATTAGCCGCGTAATAATGACGCCGACGGACACCCAGGTCACCGGCAACGCAGCCGCAGAGCTTAGCGCAAACTGTGCCGCCTTCGCGTCTCGTTAGTTTATCTTAGTGGCAACCCCGCTATCGGCGCCGTCGGTTCCATCGCTCCATACGACCGTGTGGCCAACACGCTCTTTGAATCCCTCGACTTCCGGGGTTACGTTGGGCCGTACCTTTGTACTTCCGGCCGTAAATCGAAAGGAAGACCGCGCGTAATAGTGTTTCTTTTTCAAGCGACGTCGCGTTCCTTCCGGAGGTAGATCCGGACGAGATCCGACAGGTTATCGAGTCGGTGGTGTCCCGTCGATATCGTTATCTGAAGAGGTCACCGACGATGACATCGTGACACGACTACCGTGCGCGATACGCGCGGCGCAATTGCGCCGGATAGACAAGGCGCGCGCGGATATTACTATCAAACCGAGCAGGCAGTGAGCGATTACTTTGTGGGTGGAAGCGGAAGCGCTTCGCGACGATTTTGCCGAACGAGTTTACGGGTGTGCGTAGGTGAGGCGAATAGAGGACCACGGGCGAGAAGAAGAGGTGTTTATCGGCAAAATAAATCATTCACACGCGCGCAATGATGGGATCGTGAGCCGCGGGAGTTCGATAATAGCGCATTCGTCGTCGTTGTTACTTCGCAGTTGTGCCTCGGAGATCCCTCGTGACATCCCGACTGTCGTGACGACGATCTCCGATAGTGTGTGCACCTGAAGTGAAAATCGAAGGAATTTTGATTCGCGACGCGCACCGATTTCACGAATTCCGCGAGGAATTCGCGGCTACTGCGAATTTTTTCGTTCGGTTACTTGTTACGAACGTAACGAAGATGCGCCAGTGTTTAAGAAAGAGATGATGTCGCGCGTTTATAAATATGCGATCAATGCAGCTATCGCGCTCACAGTGACATAAGCGATGCCTAGTGCATCCGTAAGCACACGTAGTCACTTCATTTTACGTCTTCCGTTGAGTGTTTTACGCGCTAGAAGAAGATACCATACATCCGCCGCATGGCTCGGTAGGTGCAATCGCTGATAGCGCAGTTGTGCAGTTGTGCGCGCTACAGCGTCGTCGAACTACACGTCTCTGCTGAGTACAATACATAAAAGTTTCGCGAAAATGCATCGAGAACGCTGTACCTGATCAATTCGGAGTCGACCTTACGTTGACAGATATCTGATCGTCAATTTCTGAGAAATATTATTTTTTTTATTTATTATATAAAATTAATTAAAGTGTAATATACGCGTCATCAGCTGTTTATACCGTTTAATTACATAATATGAAATATTTTCTCTATGTAATTAATTGTCGCGTTCAATGTTTGATGAGAAATTGATTTCGAATTTATCGAGAGAAATATTTTCTGTAGTGTTTCGTATCTTTTCGCAAGCTATCCATATTAGCCCTTTAACGGTAGGATCAATTTGACCCTACGCTTTGTCTATTTTACAGTGTGCACGCGTTGTTTCTCTCCTTAAGGGATGTTTCATGTTATCATTTACTTCTTCTATCCTTTTTGTACATTGATTACGTGAAAAATGAACAAAACAGAGCACGAATTCGAGTCCCAATTTACTGGATACGTTGAAAATCTACTCTGCTGTTAAAGGGCTAACGTTTCATTGACTGGAGATCTATTAATAAATCAGTTCCACTTTATTCGCGAGCAGTAAGTGAAGTGTTAATTGACAAACGTGCGGATACAAGTGGAGTGCGAATGTAACTCGTTGGTTCTTCGTACGCCGGATTTTACAAGTGTTTTTACGAAGATGGTAACGGCGCTGTAACGTTGCACATAACTGCATTGATGAGTACTGAAATTTAATGTTACTGCTGTTATTAACCTGTGTAAAAGTTTCGCACAGATGCCGTAACTATGGGCTATTATGAATACTTCCACATTACAAGATTTTAATATGCCGGAACGCAATCAAAAAAGCCACCCGAGTACGCTGCTGTTATTTCGGCATATTAAAATATGTTGTAATCCCACGCAAACAGTAATTCCAGAATAAATCACTATTCGCCATTTCTGCGCAAACCGCTCGGTTATTGAATCAATATCAAATCGAAGGCAATTGAATATTATCCTATTTTGTCTCTAACAATGGAACAGCATTTTTCTGTAACTGAAAATACTAACGGATATTCCGAATTATTCGTTAAAAGGTTATAATAGACAAATCGATGATTCAACGTGCATTTCGTATTGTCGTTTCCGTCGTAAAACAATGAGATTTATAATATCGATGCGTGGAAAAAACTGCACCTTTCTGTCGCTACAACAAAGAGCGTAAAAAATGTCATGATAAGCACGTTGAAGCGCGAATTCGCGAAAGTTAGACGCCACATTTTCCCTTATATCCTGTTAACAGGAAGTTATCCGATACCACGGTATACTCCTGCCGGATCCGCGTTCTCAACTAACCCGCCATGTTCCTTAATTCCCCGCGTACGTACGGGAGAAACTTATGGAGCGTCGTTTGCTTGCAGACTCGGTGTACTGGTACACCGTGGCAGAGCGAACAATGGATATGGGAAAAGCAGAGGCTAAGTAGCAGGCTGCAGGTACAGGAACGGAGACGGCGCGAAAAGTAGATTGGCGAGAGGCGTGCGGCCGACAGAAAGCGAGAGTGGTGTACGCCAGGAGGACAGGCAGTACGGCGGAGGGCGAACGAAAGGTACGGGAGGGTCGACCGTTGTGACGAAGTCGCGGGGACGAAGTGTGGAGCCGCACGAAAAATGAGGGAGCACGGTCTGCCGGATGTGTGGCGGCTGGTGTGGTTGCTCTGCCTCGTGTTGACGACGAGCTTGGCGCAAACATCGCATCTCTGTCCGACCCCCACCGAGATCTCGCCCTGTTCCTGCAGCGTGAAGAAGGCCGGCCTGGACATCGTGTGCGAGATCACTGACATGACACACATCTTGAAGGCCATGACCTTGCTCAAGGGAAAGTCGAACATAGTGATATTCTACCTTAGGCTTAGGCACAACAACTTGCCCAAGCTGCAGGGATACGTGTTCCTCGGGCTCAACATACATCATCTCACTATCCACAACAGTAGCCTCGCGGTGCTCGAGGAAGCCTCTCTTAGTTCTCTCGGTAAGTGTATGGATAATACTCGGAGGAAAGGACAGAAATATGATAGGATAGAGAGACGGTCTATATCGAGATTCTGTTCTAAATTTCTTTTCTATTTCTCGGGAAAGACATGGGAATTTTTTCGATCATGTGATAACTTCCCATGTAGAATAGAAAATCACAATAATGACAACATGGCATCAAAATGACGAGAAAGTGATCGAATCATGATCGTAAAGTGAGTTATTCATGTTTTCATCGTTTTGCCGTTACCGTGATTTTCTGTTTTAAACTTGGGTTGTGCAGTTTGTGCTTCGTTGAAAGGCAAATAAAATGCATAATAATCAAACCAGCCAGTCAATGCCGGAGTCGAAATTTTGATTCCAAGACTTGATGAAATAGTTACTAATTTTTTGTCTAACAGTTTCCAAAATAACCCAATACCATGTTCATGTATACAAATGGGTTGAATCTCTAAAGTTACATCCGGAAACAATGGTACAGAGAGAAAAACGCGAATTGAGCTCACGGCGATTGAACTAGCATACATATCGACGGCATTCAAGCCCGTAATTTCAAAGCCCATTGGCGTTAGTGCGCGGCGCGGTAAAAAATAGGAAAAAATACAACAACGCGCTGCCACCTCATGCACGGTCGTGTAGTAACATTTTTTACGGCACAGAACCAGCACCTGTCTTCTGGCGTCAAAAGACTTTCATGGAAGATTTAGGATCAGTTTTTATATTAAAGCCAACATTGAAGCACTCAGCCTGTCACGCGAGGCCCGCGTTAAAGTCGGCTGCAAATTTAACCCGCCTTTAAATCTCTTACGAAGCCCCGGGCTTTAGAGCCGCGACGCCGCCTTTGCGGCCACGCAGATTCGGAATAAATTACTGTAAGGGACTAGAAAATACGTTCTTTTTACACCTGCCGTATTCGAGATACGCGGGGATAACTGCGTCGCGTGGTCGCCCCATATAGGGGAAAACCTTAATGAGAATGCAGCGCTACGAGCCATCTCAGCGAGACATCGCTCGGTCGCATTAACTCGCAAGAACATTACACATGGAAAATGTTATTTTCCAACGGAGCTTTGAGTTCCCGTCGTGTTTTACGGCAGGTTGATTGTAGACAAAGCAGACAGACAGATTCGATGCACCGTACAATTAGCTAATGCGATGAACGTCGTCTTAAGGTACAAAACAAAGTTGTTGAATTTATAAATTACGTTGATTCTTGCTCACGTCAATAAAATATTACAAGGTTCGTTAATGTTATAACAATTCTCACGCAACTGCATTTTCATAGGGATTCACCGGAACGGTGCATCACGATAGTTTGAATTTTACCAAGTTTAAATTCTTTCAAGACGTGAGGTATAGCGTTAAGTCGCATACGTTTATTATGGAAATGTATGCCGCATTGGAGTTAGCTAACGGAACTGACGAAATCATCGCGGAATTTAACTTCTTCGATGTAGGGTAGATATCCAAAGTTACTCAATTAAATTCAGGAAATCCTTGAACACCACCGGCTAACATTTACGAGAGTCGTGCGTACGATCGCGGATGCAAGCATAACAGCCGCTAGAATTGAATAATTCACTTCCTTGCAGGAACGGACTTGACACAGCTGGATCTCTCTCAAAATGCACTGATTTCCGTCCCGTCCCCCGCGTTACGAGACCTCCACCATCTTCTGATTTTGAATTTGAACCGTAATAAAATCACAGCCATCCACAGCAAGGCTTTCGAAGGTCTCGACACACTCGAAATTCTCACCCTTTACGAAAACAAGATCACTAACATAGAGCCAGATGCGTTCAAAGGACTTGACAAGTAAGTCGCTCTCGTCGACTAAAAATTACAAATTCAAAGGGGAAGCTAAAATAAAAATCTCCGATTTTTATATTACCACGAGTCTTGAAAAGCGGATTTTGCTAAGCTAATAGTTGATTTAATAAATTATTTCTAATGTCGCGAGTTCGTTAAAATTCTTGATTGTCTTAAATCGTTGAACATAAAACGGACGCCCCGATATTTTAGTCTAAAGATCCTCCTCACTCTCGCGATTTTATTCTATTTAACATTAGCCGGAAACTCAAGAGGCTCAATTTAGGCGGAAACGAGCTCACGAGGGTTCCAACTCAAGCATTATCGTCGTTAGATTTGCTGAAGAAATTAGAGATGCAAGAAAATCACATATCAAGTATACAAGAAGGGGATTTCGCAGGTGAGGTTAACAGGTTTATCTTATTTAAAACGTATCTTTTAAAAACACGTAATATCCCCAAACCACAATTGGAAAATAGATTGACTTTTCAATTTCTACCCACAGAATCATTGTGATTTCGATTAAATCATCTTTTTCTAACCCAATGCACCTACTGGCTATATACTAGCTCTATATGTAAATAAAAATGCTTTTAGTAAACGTGTATGTAACGAACGTTCCGTAGAATTAAATGAAATAGTCTCACCGATAAAACGTTTCACCCTTTCAGGATTGAAAGCACTCGATTCATTAGGATTGGCGCACAATCTCCTCCGTGAGGTCCCGGCGCGTGTATTCTCCCACTTGACGCAATTAAACTCTTTGGAACTCGACGGAAATCATATTACCCACGTGGATCCCAATGCATTTATCGGTCTTGAGGGTGAGTGCAATCACAATACAGATTTTTAATCTATTAACCACGGATACACAAATTACCCTGAAGTACTTAAATTATTTCAATATTACTTTTCTCTGTATTTCTTCTCCTTTTTGGCATTTTCCCTAAAATAGGACATTTAAAAATACGACAGGTTGACGTCCAACGTACTTATGTCATGAAAAACTTTATCATTAATATTCCACATATATTTTTCGCATAATGATTCGCAAGCTTCTCCGCAATATCGGCAAAATATCTTCTCGATTCTCGATTTTGATGCAGCCGTGGAATTCGTGTAGTTTTGTGTTCAGTTTACCATGAAATTCTTACGATCTTTGCAGATCACTTTCTGCTTTATTTATCGTTGCAAGCGTCACAGCTGCTTAGCATTTAAATTTACCGCGTGCCACGACTGCCTACCAGCGATGCAGTAGGTTTCTTTGAGTATGAGGATAAACGAACGAACGACACTTTACAAACTATTTTTCGTCCCGTTGCGTCTAACGGACATGAACCCAATTATCTAAATAGGATTTTGACAATTACTTTCTTTTAGTAAACAAACGGCTTTGGTGTTTACATCGATTTTTACGAATTACACTTGAAGCTTTCAAGCACTTCGAAGCACTTGATCCACGCTTGCGTAAATTCATCCCGATTAATTCATATTTATTTGCCGCTACAAACAACTTGATTTGATTACCTACAATCGATTTAAAGAATTTCGTTTGAGCGTGTCGCAACTCTTGAGAGTTGTTGTCGATGCTCTTCCCGTAACAAAGCTATCTACTGCGAGGTAAATTGCCACTATTTCTTCTAATATGCGTATTACATACTCTTGCAACCGTTTAATTGCGTTACTCATGCCGTCAAGCGACAGAATCAATTCATTTCTTTACGAGGAACTAATAACCAAGAAATTTTTACGAGAGATTTCCGATACAACTCATCTTACGCGCTCAAATTATCTACGTTGTCTCCAGTTCTTCCTTGTAATCGTCTCGATCGCTCCTTTCAGAAAATCTGCAGTATTTGCGACTGGGAGATAATAATTTGCATTCAGTACCGAGCGACGCGCTGCGACGCTTACATCGCTTACGGCACCTGGACTTGCGATCGAACAACATCACTGTACTTGCAGAGGACGCTTTCACGGGCTACGGAGATTCCATCACTTTCCTCAACCTACAGAAAAATCTGTAATACACCTTCCTCTGTATGCCGCGACTTAAGGTTTTTGATCGGAGAAAAACGTTTGAATAAATCGATTAGTTATGCGTTGGAGGCGCACCTTTTAAAATTCTACGACAACAATCGATGCATCGCATATCAATGTAAATATAATTACACTATTTTTTCAGGATTAAAGTGCTCCCGCCCCTGGTATTCGAAAACCTCAATTCGCTAGAAACCTTGAATTTGCAAAACAACAAGCTCACGCATATTTCAGAAGAAGTCACGGAGAATATTGTCGACACTCTACGTCATATCGATATAACAGGTAACGTATCACTTCTCCTGCGTAACGCTAATACTAACATTACTTCCTCCGGTACAACTTATACGATAATCCTTTTAATTTTCTCCGTCCGGGTCGCACCGTTAACATTTTAGAGTATCACAAAGCGCACGAATAAAATACATCGCAGAAGTCGCTGATATATATTTCTTTCGCCGCATAAAAGTCTCATTAAGTAGCAGAACTAATTACCGAATTAAATAACGGTTACATTAACCGTTGCGCATAATGGCAACGGTTAATGTAACCGTTAGTTAAAGGGCCGCGGAAAGACGAACGTTTTAACGAGAGGACGAATTTCGCTAATTCCCATCTCGGCTCGGCGCTCATTTTATTTCCTTATCGTCCCGTTTCCCTGTGCGCGCAGATAACCCTCTGATTTGCAACTGCGACTTGCGGTGGTACACCGTGTGGCTTGGGAACCTGCGCGACAAGGACGACGAGATGATGTCGAAGAAGCGGACCGCCTGCATGATGATCAGTGAACACCGCGAGTACTCCGTGCCGAATATCCCGTTCGGGAAGTTGGGCTGCGTGGGCAAGAACGCCGGGAGGATCTCATCGGCGTCTGTCGCGTGTAAGATGTACGTTGACGCAACGCTAACGCTGATAGTCATCGCTGCCGTTTTAGCGTAATCCCGCGGGAGGAGCGCGACTTCGCGATTGGAGTGCGTCATCGACTTTTCGTTTCGACGCCGGCGAGACGTTTAACGACATGCGTTCGCCGTTAACGTTTCCACGGAATGCCACCATGATTGAGCCACGACGAGCCACAGCGACGAGTCTCGTCGTTCGTTACTTTAACGAATAGTTTGCAATGACGGGAAGCATTTTCCCCTCGCGTTTCTTGCTATTTATTTCCCGGGGTAATCGTGACGCGACAGCGGAGACGCGTCACGATTCCACGCGATAGACTGCGCTCGTCGACGTGGTGGAACCAGCCTTCTGCGGAGACTGACGTGACTCTCTCGCACGCGTGTCATCGCGCGACAATACGCGGCCTGTCGTAAAAATGACAGAGGAGAGCTACGACGCGAAAAGTCGGTGCCTTGAATCGTAGGAGATCTTGTCGAACACCAGCTAGCAGTTGACGTAAAAGGCCCTCGAGCATCCGGCATCGTTACTCGAAACGGCATCATTAAACGAATCGCTATTGTTCGGTGCGACGGGGAGGAATGACCGATTGATTCCTCCGCCGTTCGGGAAGTTGCTTTCTTACTTTTTTTCGCCAGCAGGCGTACAAGAACCGACGTCCGTCTCGTTTCGTGTAGAGATACGTTCAGGCATACAGTAAATCGGAGTAGATCATTGCTTTCTCCTACAGACACGCGCCCATGCGATGCGACCGCGCATGGACAATCAGACGTGACGCGTGGTAACCCGCGACAATCGACTTTTTGAGAACCGAGTGCTTTAAATTCTTCCGGACGCTCCCGCGGTATTTACTTTCGCAGTCCGATCAGACCGGAAGATTCTCCGTCGTTCACTCGATTCGATTAATCTTCAGCACACGCGCACACGCGATCATCTATTTTATTGGCCGAGACAGTTTGCCCGAGATATTTGGACTTTAATCGAATCGACAAGAAAATTCGAACCTCTCTTAGACGCTCGAGGATCTACGAATTAATTTATTTTCGCGGCGAAATGCGCTTAAAGATTCGGCGTCCGCAAAACACACGGATTTATTCGCAGCGTTCTTGATCGGGCCCGCGGAATATGCGAGTCGCGTGAGTACAACAGTCGCGTTAACAAAGTTAATCATCACTGTAAGTCAGCTCGCGACAAAGCACCACGAGCGATCCTTTCGATTGCCGCGTGTCGAAATGATATTCACTGACGTAGCATGGCCGGCCGCTAAACGTAACGACGAGCGTAGGAGACGCACACGCTTGCTGTGACGGCGGATTTATTGCTGATGGAATCACTGTTATTAATGGGACTCTCAGACGCTCTACGATCGAATTGTAAACGACGCTAATCGCGACCGCGCACGGCGAACTGTTTTAACCGCGACTTCCAGCCACTCAGTACGATAATGAATTCATCGGAGCGACTTTCCGTCTAATCGAAAACAGCAATAGGACGCATATCCGATCATACCCGATCTTTATCATCCGGCAATAAAATGTCACTCGCTCGTACAGTTCGATAGTATAGAGTCTGAGCGACTACCATGATCGAACGTCGATCGCACGATCGATCGGTGGACCGAAGAGTGCTCGTTCGCGAGGAGCGCGCGAGTTTTCTTCACCGGAACGTTACATATCAACATCGTTGCCAATTATTTCGTGGTTATCTGTTAAGCTCGCGGCGCGAGACGTAGTATACTCACTAGCGGATTCGAGCGGCCGGAAGTCAGTCGTCACTAGGCGGTTCCGGCCCGCTCGTCATATACATATCAATACGTTCCTGTCGAACACGGGTGCTGCAGATCGTCGGCATGCCGCGGAATTCTCGCGTCTCCCCCTCCCGCCCTGCTTCCGTGCGCCACGATCTTCCGAGGTTTTCAAATCGTTATTATCTATCCTAAAATCCGCGGTTTGGTAGAGCTTAGATACTCACCACGATTGCTCGAAGGTAGCTCGATAGGATAATATTTGACTAATCGTATAATTAAACTTTCAGCAGACGAATTATTTTATTCTCTTTCTCCCTTGAATTATTTAATTATTTCATACATGAGAATAATTTGTATAAAAAATGTACGTTTGTTGAGATATCGATTAGGAAGTGAAGTCGGTCGATTGAGTTTGCGTAAAACAACAAAAATCAAAGTGAACGAAGTTGGACGATACTCGTGAGAAGTCTCTCGTCGGCTTTTCTGCCGGACTGTCTCTGCGCAGTAGTCGCTGCTAACATCTTGAGATCGCCCCGATACTTAACTCGATTTGCAAAGGCCCGATCGCACGAAATGAGATAACGACTGCTGATGACACGTAATATACTCTCGGCAGGAAACCGACACTTGTTAAAGCCGGTAGAGCACAAACGCGGCCGTTCGGCCGCTCTACGAGCTTTACATTCGGGCTACTTCGTCGCCGGCGTTCACGTGCGTGAACTAAAATTGCATCGCCGTCTCGCGAGAGAGGAAGCGTATGCAACGCACGTGTCCGTCCTAATCGCGATGCACGAAACGCAAACGGTCCGGAGGTGCATAATTTCTCCCACGTTTATAGAATATTTCTTCCTTCGCTCAGTACACGACGAATAGTGATTCGCGCTCACATCCGGAAGATCGCGACGTACGAAAATACACGTTGCGCGCGCTTCGCTTCGATGCATCATCGGCGAGCGCGTCCGACGGTGCATCGGGCGAGCAGACGCGCTTCTCAGCGGAGGCTGAGAGAGCCTGCCGCGCGAGAGATCGATCGTAGAAGAGCTGTTCAAGGGACGTAGTGCTGATCACAGTGCTAACATGGAAAGTAACATGTGTTTTGCTATTCGATACATATAATAAGGATAAAGTAGAATTAAACCTAAGGCATTATCGTAAGACATACATGCCGCTTGGTGGCATATTAACCGGTACGAATTGTATGGCGCGCCGAGCTTGACTCTTCGGAAAAGAATTTCGAAGCTATCGATTTCGTCGAGGATATTTTAATCCTTTTGTTGTCGCGTTTATCTTAATTTATGACTCAGCGAGTGTATCCTATCTCGCGGACTACCTGGCGGAGAGAATTTGTACGAATGAAAATTTCGTGGCGTTAAATCATGGAACGACCGGCAGAAGAATTTATTATTTGACGTAAAGTAACCTGTTATTTTAGCGTTATATTTAGTAGAGTGTAAATTATACGCATATTGATGAAAAAGGAACGAAATGTCATAGGATCGATAGAACGCGTTTTTTAATTCGTGAGCGAAGATATTCTCCTTCGAATGTGCGGGCAACGGTGCGCGACGGTATCATATACACACATACACATATCATTTATACGCCCAAGTTTAATTGTAAGATAAACTGATTAATTAAGTCGATTTAAGGCTTGACGAAGCTATAACGACTAAAGATCGTATACATATCGTAAACGTATGAGATTTAAGAGAATTTATTTGTTAACATATATACATATATATATATATATATATATATACATATATGTACACGTTGCATATAATATATATATTATTATGCATTATTACGATCATAAAAGATATATATTATATACCTATATCTTATATACATATATATATATACATATACGCACTGGATGTTTTTTCTAAGAAGTTACGTCGATAACAATACGAAGCTGCTGTGTGCATACCGCCGTTTCTAAAGTTGCTTTCTATTTCAGCCTATGATGTCCGGTTTTCACGTTTTAATCGTACTTTGATGCGTACTTTGATATTCATGATTTATCGTTAATCATAGAGTAATTGAGTCATTAGATATCGGTAAGTTGAAAGAAAATTAAAGATACGCCGAATGCGATCCTCTGCAGGCCCTACATTTAGCTTAGGATTCGTACGAGGCATATCTGTATATCTAATAATCAAATCTTATTATTTTGTTCGTGTAACTGTGTGTACATAATTTACAAACATATGATTATTCAAAGTACAACGTACGGTTAAATGAAAAAACGGCAGTGTGTGAGCGGCAGTAAGTTACAAAAAAAAAAAGTTAATAGACTTGAAAGTAAAACTAGTAAAATAGCATAATCACCTGAGTCAGAAGTTCGGTATACGTCTTCGCTACCGAGCGATTGAGACGAAAAACGCTCTCGAAATATTATGCAGAGACCGTCGCGAGGGAAACTCTCTCTCAAGACCACCTTCCCTAAGTTCTGCGTTATACCAGCGAATTATTCCTCGAGAACGTTTCCGACGACGTTCACGTCGATTACCCAACAGTTCACGCGAGAGCTTAATTCGCCGAAGAACTTCCGGCTCGGGCGTTAGAACGTATCTTTAGGCGGTTTTTAGAACAAGAGCAGAAACGGGAGCGCACAGTTCGCGCGACTCTAATCCTTTCGCTGCGGAACATCGCAGCGACTCACGCTGATACCTCACATCTTTCGGTTATCTAAAACATCTAGCCGTACGACGAACGTAGAACTGTTCGCACCAGCGCGTAGCAAAATCTGCTAGACAAAAGAAAAATTCGCGACGTGAAATCACGTTTAAAATTATGTTAAAAATTAACATGAGCTCCGTCAAGCGCTGATCAGCTTGACACAGCGTTGCAGCGAAAGGGTTACGAATCGACGGATGTCGAGCCTGCAGAACCATATCAAGACATATCGCTGAGAGCCGACGTTAAGCTCGTCGGGCGCGCCGTTTATTATTACTAATTATTATAAGCGGATATTTTTGTACAGCGTCTTACAATGTGGTCGGATCGTTGCCGGCGCACCCGACAAGCGTACCCGGTGCCGTAATTACTTCGTATGATAACGCGCGATACCCTGAACGCGAACGCGTACGCATCGCCGACACATTCGTACGTGTCCAGCGGAACGCGTGAACGAAATTGACGGTCCCAGATGGTAGGTGCGTGTGAGGGACGACAAACGGAGCTTAACTCCCGATTTAAGGATATAACTTCATAATCTCGGTGCTCGCCCACATGTCGCTTTTTCGCACGACTTGAGGAACCTGGTAACTCTGTGTTAACATGCACCGACGTACACACATGTACACACATATATACATCATATACACATACACACACATATACAGAAGCTGACACGAGATGTTGATCTAGTATGAAGTATTCCATCCCCATTTCTTCACTGTTTTCTCTTTAAGTAACAAAATCATGACTCTTACGTATTATATAAAAGGACTAAAGTTCGTGTAAAATTAGACATAAAGGAGAAAAATTAGCTATTGATTCAATGTACACACAAACACAAGTGCGTCTGCATCTTTCGGCGTAAATGCTTTTAGACACGAGACACGTTATACACGGACAAATACACGCACACGAGACTAAATCACGCCTAATGTTACATCGATGTTATAAATATATATATATATATATATATAAATATATATATGGTTATTATGCGACACACCTACACAAACTTCGTCTGTATATGTCTATACATAATGTTACGTGTATATGGTCATATTATGATAACTATTACGTGATATGTATGTATTATGAAACATTTTTCTCGTATCGGACCGCAACTCGGCCGTTTACTCAGATTCTAATGTCTATATGTCATTGTTTATTATGTCGTTAATAATTAACGTGTATATGTGAAACTTTCAAATGAATAAAATTGACATAAGCAAAAACATCGTTCATTGTTATTTGTGTCTTTCATTACGTATCGTAGCTTGTTATGCGAAATTTCAAAAACGTTAATGAATATTTCAATACATATATTTCTTGTTCTATTAAGTCTTTTTATTAAGTCTCTTTATAATTTCAATAACATATGATATCCAAGTTGACGATCTATCGACACGTTGCTATCGAATTAGAAGAGACGCGTGAATGGGATAATATATCGAAATTCCTCCATGGCAATCAATACGAGATATGTGCATCGATAAGCGAATACGATAACGTTAATCAATGTCAACTGCAAGCAGACCGCGATTCTAGATTCGATGAAATGTTCCGCACTCTGTCAATCGTACTGTGTCGCATAGTAAGTCTGGCACGCGACCAACGATATTAGAGATGTTTTCGGCGTTGGTAAAGAGATCTACGTATTTTTGGAGGTACTTGCGATTTTTGATACATATTCTGTCATTTCAAATTTAAGTATTTTGGTCGGGTATCCGTGAGTCGAACTAGTAAAAATTATTATATTAAAAAAGTACAGCGACTCTTTACATATACTAATGAAGTATCTAATTACAAATAATAAATAAATTCAAGTGTATCTTTTAAGTTCGTGAACTCGTCGGAATTCATTAACGATAAGTGAACTCTACATTTTCTGAGGATATACGCAAAGTATATTTTAGATACCTATACTGTGTCGATTTTTATTCAATTTAGACAATTACGCGCACAAAATTATATAAATTCAAGATTAATTTCCTCTAAGTTTTTCTTATGACGCGAAGATCTTTAGATTTGTCTAATTTCTTCCTTTGTCAAATAAACATCGGAAAACATTCGATCCACGGTTATATAAAATTTACATTTATTCATTCTATCTACAATATATAATTATACATTATTTCAAAATGAATATAATTGAATGCAGTCTCCGTGCATGTCGGGTGCTTATAGCGGTCTTATTGCTACTCGCTGCAAGCAGCTATTTCACTGCTGAAAACGACATGGGAGAAACTATAGAGGGATTGACTCGCGACGCAAAACACATTTTAAATGTGACATCTCACATTGAGCAGGAAGAACAAACATCGCCATCTACAATTATCTACAATTATGGACTAATAAGATTTAATAACAATGGGAATTGTGACGTTGATAAGTATTGTCAAATTAAAGCATGCGAAGCCATAAGCTGTTCTAGGATAAAAATTTGTGGAAATTTCGATCCAGGAGAAGCAATCAGTATTTTTATCGAAAAAATTTTCAAGGTATTGTTATAATTCTAATTTTATGATATGAAAAATGATATCAATAGTGTAATATAATTTAACCCTTTCACTACTGTGGATATTAGAAAAATACAGAATTACTAATTTTATATTATAGTTAATTGTTACTAATATTATTGCCTAAAATACAGTAAGTTAAAATTTCTATAAATAAATAAATATATAAACAAGCAATTATTTTAAAATAAATTATTATTAAATTAAATTATTATTGAAAAACTAAGATATATATTCTTAATTATTAAAAAACATGTTTAAAAGTGAAAGGGTTAAGTTAAAATATACAAAATCAAAATTTTTATTTTACTATTCATTATTTGTTAGGTCAAGTGCAGTTCGAAAAGTAGCATAAACTTGATACTCGAAAAATCGACATTTTCTGATAACAAGCTTCAGGAAAATTGGTTGAAAATAAAAGATATAGAGATCGTGGAATTAATTCTGACTAACTGCCTTCTGACTACGTTAAGCGACGGAGCATTTTCTTCATCGATATTTAACAGAATGAGAAAATTACAACTGCAAGATAATAACATATCTATTTTAAAGAAAGCCACATTTGATCATCTTCCAAACCTGGAAAAGTTCTCTATCGTGAATAACGAGATAAAAGAAGCCGAGAAAAATTTACTTCAAAACGTTAAAAAAAATCTGGCAACTATCGAACTCGAGAATGCTATCACTGACACTGAAGTTCTTCGGAATATCACGGGAGGAGAAAACGATTTATTTAATGTAAAACTGTTAGCATTACGGTACAATCGTATCACGATTCTCGACTATCGACTCTTCACTGGTGTGCCTAATATAGAGAGTTTGTACTTACATTTTTCGAATATAGAGACTGTTAGTGGCGCGGATACATTCAAACCGATCTCCGGAAGTATAAAACAGATATTTATAAACAACAACAGAATCACTACTTTGCCTGAAGGCTTATTCGACTTTATAAAGCAGAACTCTTCTTTCTTCGAGCTGTCAATCCACGACAATTGGTGGCATTGCGATTGCAGCCTCAAATGGATGCAAGACTTGATGATACAACATTCGGGAATAGTGAAAAATATCCCAACCTGCAAAACGCCCAGAGAAAAAAACAATCAATCTTTCCTTGAGGTGAATTTTTGCGATCAAACAAAGACGACTGAGACAAGTTCTAGTAATACGACACACAGTAGTGTAACATCGACATCTCACGACATTTCAACGAGCAGTTCATATCATTCGACTACAGAGATGCCCAATTATCGTCCTGTCGACTATCACGTGATTATCCCCGTCTTTGTCAGCTCATTGATAGTTATGGGTTTTTTGAGCGCATTGTTAATGTTCGTCATAGTGCGACGACATCCTACAATATTGCGAGGAAGCAAACGAATCGTTATAGTAAAGCGCGAAATCCCGGACGTCATGATACTGCCGAAAGGAGTTTCGAGTGATGCTATCGAATCCATGAACAAGAACACGATATCCACAATATCGCGGAACTTGAAGGAGGATGAATACATCGTACCCCTGCCACCAATACGAAATCCAACACGTAAGAATTCGAGAAGTTCGGCGTCGAGTGTACCAAGTGATACGAGTTACATTTCCAGCATTGAGCCGACCTTGTCACAGCTGGACTCATGGCAACTCAAAAGATCCAAGTATACAAGCCGAGAAACCGAATCGCCACCTTTACCGCCCTATCCGCATCCTAATATCGCGCAACCGTTATCGATAGTACTAGACATGGACGAGAATGATTTCAATTCTTGTACGGTGTAACATGAAGCGATACAGTTCTTTTTTTAGTACAGATTTTTAGTACAGATTCTTCTTAAATTTTGTCTCGGAAAACTTAATTCGGCATAGATTATAAGAAAAATGTGTCAAAAAGCGAATAAAATTGTAAAAAAAGCGAAAATTATAAAATTATAGAAATATTTTTCAAGATCATACATTTACATATGTTAATAAAAATTCAAATATCTTTTTTTGCTCTAAAGAATTAGCGGGTCACGGAATGAATATTAATAAAAATTAAAAAATATAAGATTAAGAAACTACAGAAATATAAATATGTTTCTTAATTGTAGATACATATAGTTGTTGAGAGAAATATTCGATACTTGAAACATCTATTACAAATTGTGTAGGCGTTTGAAGAAGTGCTCCTCTAATTACTCTGAGCTGCGTATATTTCCACTTCAAACGTACTCTGCGTGACGTTAGATAATGGATGTGTCAGAAATCTCGTTTCGCTTTGGACTTGGCTAATTCTGGCTAATAGCCCAAAGTCACATGGGCCAATGTTAGGTTCCGGGAACAAGCACAGTGGATTACGGTAATAATATTGTGTGTTCTTAAAAAGAGCCAAGAGGAAATGGAGGAGAAAATTAGAGATATAATTGATAATAAAGGTACGTTCAAGATGTCAATTTATACAGATTTTGATATTTTAAAAACCATCTAATTTGCATAACTCAAAAGCATAAAAAATGTCTTACTTCGAAATTTCTTTTACGCAGTTATCGGTATAATTTACAGTTCAATCTGGAATGAATTTATTTCGAAAATTTGATTAGGATATTCTCATAATTCAATCACTAAATTAATGTAATAATCGTGATTTTATTGTTTGTGATATCGTGCAGTTATATCTAATATTATACCTAATGTTTCAAAGAGTAAACTGTGTGTTAATTGAACGGAAAAAAGGAAACAGCGGAGAAAAATTTTTTGAAAAGATTTTGAGAAAACATATGATCATAAACAGATATAGAATAATATCGACACGATCGGCAGGAAATCATGATTTTAACTATCCTAAACTTAGTAATCTGCAATGAGTCGGTTATTATGATATTGAAGCGATTTCCTCTACCGAGGACTATTTTTAGCCGTTAGGTCAGTAGTTCGATTTAACGTCGAAGCTTTATCTGATTGGCCAGTGGAGATTAACATACATATATCGAGGTTAAAGATAGTTGCCAGACGATTTTTTCGCTCAGCGGCCGCTCGGCAATCCACTGCAATCCTCTAAAAGGATGCAATGCCAATACTAAACCGCTATATCTATGATGCGCGCTACGTATAACTGCTTTCATGTTCGTAAATAGTTTTACCGTGCGCAGCGTAAAAACTGATTCGATATATGCGTTCATATACATGCCAGTTAAAAATATTATAAAGTATGTTATGGATTCCGTCCAGTTATCACTTCTGTATATAAATAGAACAATAAATTCGTACGTATCAACTCTACTATAGAAATCCAGTGCTATTTGAAAATCCGAGAATCGAAATAAAACTATACAGAGATCGATAACAGTGCAATGTATCCGATATTACAATTTCTCGCGGTTGCGACTTTTTCATGTGAACGACGACGTTATTTATATATTCCTCACAGTTAATAATGTTGCATAATATAAAGTTTTCGAAAAATTTATAGTTTTAATTAAAAACCCATGTATTCATACACACTGCATCAGTGTGTTAATTCTTTCGCAAATAGACAGCTGTGAAAGAGCGTTCTAAATAAAAATCTTTTTATAGCGAGTTTGTCCGATCCCCGATACATGATACATGATCAGTGGTGATCTATTGACACCGAACGTACGTATGCAACTGTATCACGCTGCTAATTAGTTCACTAAGGCTCAGTATGACTTTTTCACCGGCACAGTGAGTTAGTTGCACGAAAGAGATTCGTTCGAAATCGTCCGTCGTACTTCGTGATTGTCTTAGCGAGAACTTTAACAATATGGTAATTATCGTGTAAATTTATGTGGTAGTGAATATTCGCAGACCACGCAAATTCACTACAGAAATATAATCGCGAAAGTTTCTCACAGTGCTTTGTGTGTGCGTGTGGTTCTTTTTTAAATATATATTTCCAATAATCAAAATATAAGTTAAATAGAAAACAAATATTAATTTTTTATTCAAATAAAGCGTTACGTTTTCGAAATTTAGAACAACGAGTAACAAGTTAATGATTAATAGTGTTCGTTCAATTGTAGGAGGAAATTCAACTTAGCAGAGATCAAATATCCCGTAAGTACATACTTTTCTGCATTAAATTAATATCATTTTCATGGTATTGTTAGACATCACAAATAACACGTAACTTTTGTAATCAATTATTAGTTTATCGATTCGTACTTAGAAACATAATACATAGAAGACCTAAGAACTAATTTTCACAAACAGATTTGAGAATGGCATTCGATGCGTTCGATCACGACAAGAAAGGATGTATCAGCACAAGTATGGTGGGCACAATTCTAGGTATGCTTGGTCATGAAGTTCCACCGGACGAACTTGCAAATATTATTTCGGAGATTGACACATGGGGTAAATATAAAATTATGAATACACATGCACAGACAAGAAAACAGACTGAGAAAAAAACTACAGTTATACGTTCGCCAACTACATTCAAGTCCTCGTTATTCAGCTATTGCAGTGAAAGCCATATCTGAAAATATATCTGTTGCAAAAAAAGTTATTCTTAAGTTCACGTTTTATTCAAAGCATGATCCATATAACATAATTCTTTATTACAAGGAGATTTTACGAATACTTCGAAGATACGCGATCGGAAGAGTCTCATCGAAAAATTATACTCGGTTTTAGGAACTGGCGAATTAAAATTCGACGAGTTCTGTAAGTTAGGATCACGCTTTCTCGAAGAGGAAACCGATACCGAGGCGATACAGCAAGAGCTACGAGAGGCATTCCGATTGTACGATAAGGAAGGCAATGGCTACATTACTACCGACGTATTCAGAGACATCCTTCACGAGCTGGATGACGCGCTATCTCCAGAGGAGCTCGATATGATCATAGAGGAGGTGGACACTGACGGATCTGGCACGCTCGATTTCGAAGGTGAGAAATCGTGTGTAGCGCACAGGTGCTAATCCACTTCGTCTTCGCCTATGCATACCTGACGAATTCGGCGTTTACATTTCAGAATTCATGGAGGTCATGACAGGATAAATTACGACTTTGGCACGATGTGGACGTCTATCGCCCACGTATCGAACACAGCAAGTGTGTCTATGCAAACAAACCGAAATCTCCTGCTCGAGATTGTACGTGACGCTGACAGAATATACAGTTCGTTCGTTTATCAGATAAAAAAAGTAGCCGTAATATAAATTTTTTGTGAAATATCGTGAAATATCGTGACTCGAAGATTTTAACGTAATAATACGCATTAAGAATATCTGTGAATATCTATGTCGAATATAAATTAGAAGAGAAACTTTCGGATATTTGAGATAATGTTTGCGGTATTAGCGACAGTTATTGGTATCGCGGAATTTATAGATCTATTAGCTTGCCAAGATTGCACACTATCCTATGTACAGGGATTTTGGCACTGCATCGTCAAATATAAATTGTAATTCAATCAAATGTCGAAATATTTTATAATACACTTTGCCCACATGACGTATACTAGACATACAAATTTAAAAAGCTATAAAGCGAACTATATATGTGAATAAAATGTCATGATTCGGCTATATCAGAACATGTATAAAATATTAAAAACTCAAAAAAATGGCATAGAGAAGTGTATTCATACAAATAATAACAATATTTTAAAAAATTAGTTCCTGTTATATTTCCTGTTATTTATTATATTTAATTTATTATTATATTTATTTGTTATTATATTAATTATTATGTTTAATTTGTATCGTAATTTTTCTCTATAAAAATAAAATTTGGAATTAAAATTAAACCTATTATTTAAACTAATTAAAATGAAATCTATATTGTGGAAATATTTGTAAATTAATAACAAACTACAATTGTATAATTATCCACACAAGTATCTTCCTAATACCAAACTGCTTGTGAAAATTACAATCATTTTTTTACCGAATTCAGTTTCTAAATTTATGAGAAATCGCGGTGCTTCTATGAACCTCCGTAATCCCTCACAGTATCGTAGAGCTTATAATTAATTGTAGTTGTCATCGATGTAAGTCACACCTGAAAATATAACGTGCACTTGTTGGCAGTGGCAGTGCACGTGCTTCGCACGCACCAGACGCGACGTTATACGCCCGATTCTGTAACAGCAACCGTAATCCATTGTGAACTTTCGGGACGAAATAGCGCGTGCCTCTTAACGGGAGAGCTCGACAATGCGCGCGACAGCAAGCCGTAGCATTCCGAAATGGACGATAAAATCGTCTAAATATAATAGCAGCCACCGGGTTTTATGAGCTTATAATTAGAAGGCTAAGAATAAAGACGTGCATGGTTGCTGTATAGAACCGTCTTAGGTCTGTCTTATCCATGCCATCTCCGGCCATGAGCCAAATCTGTCTGTCTATTGTTATATAACCAGCGCACAACCGGCCACACATCGTGTTGCTCATAAATTTCTATGTTCCGGGACATTGCAAAATTCCACAATAAACCGCTTGTGAGGTTTCGATTATTACGGCGGCACGTACACATCAATAGTAGCGGCATAAAGCGTCTCATCAATGGCTTTCCGTCGAAAAACACGAGGCTAGTTTATGGTAATTGACGTTTCTCAAGATTAAAGATTAAATAATTTTTAATCAAATCGATGCAGCTGCATCTGGATGCTGAACGACTTGTGATACGGTTAATTATTACGATCAAGATGAATCGCGCGCAACGCGTCCCTATTAATTCGTCAAGTGCGGAAGCGTCGGGATTTTTGAAACGCTCGTCGACAAATCGAACGAGCGACTATTAGAGGCATGGATAATTTTCGAAATTAGGTATGTTACCGAAATTTGCACAATTGAAACGCTTTCATTTAGTCGGAGTGGGGCGAACGTCCTCGATGAATTTGAAAACCGCTAGACTCGGGATGTAGGTACTACCTGGTCAATCACGTGCCAGGGATCAACGTTATGACCACTTAAAACAGAAGTACACAGCCAGAATCTGGTGCATACCCGGATAAACCGTCGACACCAACGTACCGTGGAAAGCGCGTACAGTTAACATCGCTATGGCAAGTCTTATAATTTTTACAAACGCAAGCGTAAAATTTTCTAAACGTGACGTTTTTATGACACAAGTTACACTAAACAAACGCACGATTAAAATTCGTGTAACACAATCAAAATGCAAATTAATAAATTTTTATACATAAAGAAATCTATATCCCAATTTCTTTTTTGAAAATATAATTTCTATGACGAAAGTGAGCTGATATTATTTTTATTTTGGATAATCATAGATAATAAATAGTAATTACTATTTCTCTCACGATTGCAGGAAGACCTAACCAAAGACCAATTAGCTCGTGAGTATATTTTTGTGAAATTTATCAGGGTAAAAATATCTGAAATATTGAACTATCGCTTCCCTAAATAGTTCTGAAGAAAGCCTTCGACGCTTTCGATCATGAGAAGAAGGGTTGCATCGGTACCGATATGGTGGGTACGATATTGACCATGTTGGGCCACGAGCTCAGCGAAAGCACGTTACAGGAAATCATCATGGAAGTAGACGAAGATGGTGAGTGAAAAGTTACCAGTCTCGCGACGATGTCTTCTCACCACTTTAAGCGAGAGACTTACTGAATGTTCAATCGACTATGCTATTATTTGCTATTGCATGCTTGACATTTTTATGCACATATCTTTACCGTCGACAGGCTCCGGAGAACTCGAGTTCGAGGAGTTTTGCACGTTGGCTGCTAGATTCTTAGTAGAAGAGGACCAGGAAGCAATGCAGCAGGAATTACGCGAGGCATTCCGATTGTATGACAAAGAGGGAAACGGCTATATAACCACCGCCGTGTTTCGCGACATTCTTCACGAACTCGATGACAAACTATCGCCGGAGGAACTCGACCTGATGATTGAGGAAATCGACGCCGACGGTTCAGGGACCCTTGACTTTGACGGTATGTCCTTTCATGGAGTTTCCTATATTTTTTAGCACTGCATGATATTCATTAATCCCGAATATAAAAATTTAATCTGTATGACAATCAGACGCAATAAACTAATGAGCTAACATTTAAACTAATTATTGAAAATTTGATTTTTAAACTCGATATTTTAAAGATTGAATATAAAAAATTGATTGTATATTAACCCTAGGACACCACATTTGGGTGTATCACACCCATGCTACTATTGAAATGCCCGTCGTTTCTATATAGTGAAAGGCAGGTTAAAATTGGAAGAAGAAAAAACTGTTTTCTCTCTATGACTCCCCATGTTGCGTTTAGTAGCCCCATCGGTTATATAATAGATGTAGGGGACTCCATTAAAATTAATCTTAGGTACACTACATGTGTAATATGGATGCTTTTGCGCCATATCATTGTTTCTTATTTTTTCTGAAAAGTTTATATAATACAGCTTTATAAAAAATACTTTAACTTTTTTAAACAAATAGCATTTTTTTGTGATTTAGGAAACTTCTACACAGGCCTTTTCCAGAATAACTTTTTCTTAAACATCAATTATAATTGCGATGACACAAGCGCGTTTCTGACATTTGGTAGTTTAAATTAAAAAAACAATATGTTTAAAAATATTCACTTTTGGAAAAGTTACTGATAGTTGAAAATAGTTGAATGCAGTACACCTAGATTGGTGAAATCGGCATAAAATGTGACGTCCTGGATTAATTATATATAAAATATGTGCATTTTGTTTTCCTATAATGAAAGTCTTCACTAAATATATATATAATAAAACAAGTTTTGTATCTACCGTTACCACTTCTGTTAATTTTAAATGACACGGAAGTTTTTATACACTTAACACTACATATATCACACAATAACCCATACTCAAGAAACATTTCTAAGTTGACGGTTACTAATTGCAAAGAGCATGACATGTGTTTAGAATCTAAGCGACACTTAAATAGTATGCTCGAGAAATTCCATGGGCTTTACTCAACAAATGTAATTTGCAAGATAAAACAACGTACTACACGTCTCGAGAGCCAAGTAGTTCATTTAAAATCCACTCGAGTTACGGAGCCCCGAGCCAAGGGAATTCGATTCGCGCACGTCAATGTCGGCGTTGCACTCAGCGTAACTAACACTAATAGCAAAGTCGATCGAACGTTCAATAAGTCTCTCGCCTTAGGTGGTTCGCCAAGTTCGCAACTGCGAGAAACATGAGGCGCCGTCTGATTATGCTAACGCCCACTGCGTTTTACGCGTTTTCAGAGTTTATGGAAGTCATGTCGGGCGGCGGCGACTAAGACGAGCAGAACTGATAATGAAGATGGGCGCACCAAGGCCGGGATTCGCCATGCAATTGGCAACACCCGCATGAGTGCGTTCCTTCTTCATCGCCTTCAACGTACGCTTCTGCAAACTACTAAACTATAGCCGAGTGGAAAATTAGGCGTTTACGATCATCCGTGGTATCGTTGGTGGACGGTTGGCGGCTTTCATCATCTGAGATAAAGACCGGCAAAGACTTCCAGGCGCTTTCGATCGACGCCAGAAGCAGTGAAAATGGAATCGCCTTCGGAACACCTTGATAAATCGGAACAGCGCCCAGCGCGAATAAAGTGGCAGCGATGCAAATTTCATCGTCGCGGCGAAACGGGTACACGGGCAAAGCTCCGAGGCAATTATCCCTAATCGCTGATTACGTTCGCGTGGAAAGTTATAATTTTCCCGTCGCACGAATATCACCGGGATTTCATTCCGTGAGTTTACGCGTGAAAGTATCGAGAGGCTTGGTAATTACATAAATCGTGTGCGATAAATTATTAAGTATCTCGTGTGTCTGCGCAGATACCGCGTGCTCTTTAACGCGCGAATGCGGCGAACGCCTGGACGATATTTGCCCTGTGCGCAAAGTAGCGCACCACATTCAAGTGCGCAAGGCGCTTTCTTCATAAAGTCTCCGCATCAATCGCGTCACCGTGATACATGCCCTGTGTTTTTCCAATAAAAAAGAAATTAGATCGACAAGTTGCAATGTTCTTTCACCGCAAATTACTGCTCGGCGATTCCAACGTTCTCTGGATTGCTTCGGTTCGTAAAAAATTTTGCACTTTAAAATTAACGATCGTAAATAATCCTTTGTACTTTGACTTTATACGTTATTTCAAATATACATAAATGTAATTCTTATAAAAAAAAGAAAACACACTTTTTTATTTATGATCCCTATGTAACGAGACCCGCGCAACACGGTAAGGCGAATAGTATAATGACAAATAGAAATAGATTCATGCGGCTAAAGTAAACTAGAAAAACCGCAAGCGTTCATAACGTTTACCAGCTGTCCGACCGGTGGCATTTCCGTCCTGAGATTGAACCACGTAATAATAAGTATGGCAGTAAACGTCGCGGCGCAATCACGCTGCGCGAGGTCTTACCAAATCAGATATCTGAAATGTCTCAGTCACGGAATTATATCGCGATTCTCACGTCGCGCACTAATATATTTCGCATGAAAACGGTCGACCCGATAATCCCGCGCATTATACGCAGAAATTTGTATCTCGCGCGGAGAACAATTATTTGTTGGAGTCAACAAAACCGAAAGTGTCGCAACTTTTTGTGACTCGATAACCCAACGCGTGTCGAAAAGTAGGAAAAGATACGATTATGAAGATTAGTTCCAACGCGTAATCCACTTAACGCCATGAAAATGTAGTTTGTGGAAGAAGTAGAAATATTTTAACTTCATACGCTTACATGTTGAGAGAGCGCAATTTCCCATGCGATAAATATTAACACTTTAATGGCCGCTCACACAACATGTGTGTGATGTTACCGCCGAAAATTTTTGGCCAGTACCACACCCTCTGTGTGATGATTTATGAATGTAAACAAGAATTATTTCGTGAATTTTAATATAGTTTTTTTATATTAATTCTTCAAAAATATTGCCTCTGGCGACGTTTGACTGCGTAGACGTGCGGCCATTAAAGTGTTAATAAGGTAACGCAAGGACCACCTAATTTATTGTCAATCTGATGTGTCTTGATATTTTTGTTGTATCTTGATGTTTTCGTTCCAGCATGTACGTAATAAATTGGTGACTTTAACAAGTAATAAACAAATTTTGAAAACAATTTGATAATATTCATTATCAGTGATTCAACATACTAAAATCCTTTCTATATCTAAAAGATTTTTACGGCTTCAAAATAGAATATGCAAATTTTGACATTTATATTGGAAATATAGACAAATCGAGTGTATTATTTTTTAAACCTTTAAAATATGACGATCTAAAGAAAATTGTATTTCTCCTGCAAATTGCATTTTCGCGTTTTCTTAGCTTATCACCAAAAAGAAACGTTAAGTCGACCTAAATAATTGTTTCACGTATTAATTTCAGTTTGCAGGCACATAAAATATCGTATAGCAAGCATATGTTTATTTCCTTTAACAAAACGACAAAAATTGGAAAATTGCTGGTCTGGATTCCAGACTTCGTGCATTGATTAAGCGTTAAATTTTCCATCACAATCGTAAAGATAAGAGAAGCGATCACCGTCTTTGCAATAGAAATTAAACCTCTGTTTTGCCGTGATTCTACTTCCGCACCGATTATCCGAATATTTCGATAAATTGCGCACTATTTGTAATAATTTATACGGAAGAAAAGTCCCCCTTTCACTGCTTCAACTCGATCAACCGATGACTATAAAGTTTCCATTTTGCACTTGAGATCGTGTATTAATCGCGCAGATGGATTAAATAACAAAAACGGCCCGGAATCTCGTTACCAAAAGTCGATATACGCAAAATGGCATATTATCTGCTTCGGCAGTGCAATAGCACGCCACTATTACGAAATTCACGCACCTGTTCCCCTTTTATTTTTATCGGTAATAAATGCGCTGATATTACGTCACCCCAAAACGGGCAACGTGTAATAGCCATGCGACAGCGAATATCGAGTTCAACGCGTGTAAATCAAGTGTTAATCGCGTTAATCGAACGTAAATCGCGAAATCTGTGTCGACTAAATGAGTGTAATTTGTAGCTATTATAAATCTTATACAAACAGATATAAATAAAATCGAATTGAGTAAGCGCATCCATTTTGTTCTATATATATCAAATATTGCCACTTTTTATCTTTATCCTTTTTTACTGATTAAAATTTTCAAAATAATACGGTTTTTCAAATGACAGCATATATAGTAAAAAATTTTGTGTTAAAAGCAGTTCATTGAATTTTGTGTTACTTTAACATGGAGAATATGTTAAAAGGTACACGAATATAATATTAAATTAATATATTCATTTTGTCAACATATGTTAAATGTGTTAATATAATATATTTGTGTATTTTTTAACACATTCCACATGTAATTAAAGTAACACAAACTTTCAGTGGACTGTTTTTAATATAAAATTTTTTACCGTATACAGAAGACTGCGTCAAGTACAATAATTTATTTTACTTTTCATTTATAATTATCTTAGAAATTAGAAAATATATATCTATAAATATAGTTAGGTGAAATAAGTCTATATTTATTCAAGAAATCTCGGTCGACACGCATTTATGATCAACTGAGCGCGTGTATCAACGGAAAATAAGCGATTTCGATACATGTCAGCGAGGAAAAAATGGCATAGCGTAAGAAAGCGTGCAAACGGCGTGCATTCGTCAAAATTTGAACTGCGCTTGAACTGAACTGTGTTGTTGTTTCCCATATGTGAAAGCGGGATAAATTATTATAAACGTCTGACAATTTTTCAATACGTTGACAAGAATCGAGCGCGTGGGCTGCTCAAGTAGTAAATTAAGTACTCTGATTTATGATGTTACCTTAAGAAACCGTGTAGCTTTTCTGCGCGGCTTGAATTATGCGAGAAAGTTTATCGCATGATAATGTTGCATTTATCGATAGACTAGAGTCGCTTCCGGAACTAGCTAATATTTTTCGCGAAATAGCGGGCAATATTTCACTAAAAATATGTAACTCACGTGCGCTAAAGATAAGAACATCAGATGTGTTTTGAAGTTCCTGTCTGACAGTTCTTACGACTAGTTCTTGCGCAATAAGAAACGCAATTAAACAAATTTTCAACTTATAATTTACTCGATTATCGTTACAAATAAATTTTCAAATTTGAATTGTAATTTATACGCGTAAATAATATTTACCTTGTTTATTCTGACGCTTGAGATAAGAAATATAATCATCAGAAATTTTTGTTTAGTATACAGATAATATACAGTAACAGATAAAATCTTTTCAAAATTGTAAAGCACCAGTTGCAATAATGGACGGCACGGTATTATTCGATGAAAGAATGATTAATTAATCGAAATAACTGCCATGAATATTACATCAAGTTGTCGTATTTATCAAAGACGTATTCGCACGCGTGGCATAATAATGAATTACGTATCATATTTGTCACTCGCATATGATATACGATTCGAATTAAAGCATGACGCGTTCGAAAGTGAGTTACGGCATACCTCTCATCGTGTAATCTCGCTTACAAGCTTCTTCAATAAAATATTGACATAGCTGCCGTGTTAAGGATAAGTTTCGTTTTAAATATATTATGCGCATGCAATATCACGATATTAAAAAAATAAAACACGAATAAATTAAGGATTAACTGTATGATGCATACGCGCATATGTTTATAATATATAATCTCATTTTATAAACATACACTACCATACAGATTATTAATGATAATCCAAGTCAATAAATATGAATAAAAATGCGCAACTCAAAATTTAGAATAGAGAGATCAAAGTTACATATATATATATATATATATCGACATCTCTCGAGATGAGAACAGTTCAAATTGTATTTAAATTATTATAATTATTATAATTCTCCTCAAACATCTTTAATTGGTTTTCCTTCTATTATGTTTCGGCTTATCAAATCGTAAAATGGAAAGCAAAATCGAGACGTAACACGCAATACAAAGAACGCATATATGTACTTCTTCATCGCGTCAAATATGTCGGGTTCACCGTCATTATAGTTATTCGCAATGGTCCCAGGAGACGAACTATAGCTCTCAGAAATGTGCACACTGCGATTAAATGCTCGCTTAATTACAGAGTGCGCCGTTTGACAGGACTTTCTCCGCCAATTAGGCATCCAAGTTGAGTTAGCTGTTGCGAATTCGATAACTAATTTAGCGTTGTTTTAAAGCGTTAATCGACGCTTTGCGAACATCTTATTATAAGGTATACGCGTAATGTATAAAGATAAAAAAGAAAATGTCAAATACGTACAAATCTTTAAGACAAATTAAGAGAACGATACATATATGTGTGTGTAACGATGTAATAAAAAGTTATATAATTATAATAAGTTATATAATTATTATAATATTGTCGGTTAGAAAATACGTTTGCGTTTACTGAAATTGCAATACTAAACAGCTCTTCATTGTTTATATACTAAGTTAATTTGATAATTTTTATTTGAATTTTAAATGATCATGGATAATTAATCATTAATTCCAATTATTGCTTTGAAAATATTATTGATGACATAACACAGAGGAAAATATTACATCCTATTGTGAAAATTTCAAAAATATGTGTTGAACCGTTCATGTTGTACTTATCTACAAATTTTTAGATTTAATTCTTATTGAATGAGTATATAAAGATATATTATAATATTCTATAATATACTCTTTCCCTGCAATTTTCATGAAACAAATTTATTTATTATAATCAAATTTTATTATAATCGTTTGCGCTTCCTCAGTATGGTATGTCAACTTATCTTTTAGTGTTACAATTTTAGTAAACAAAAAAATTATATACTACACAAAATTAAAAAAAAATATGTATACATGTAATTGTTCTCAACTTGTCCGCCCGATATCAGTGCGATTTATGACTACACCCATGCATTACTCTACGAATATTGAAATGTGAATATTATAATTCAATACTCACCATGTCGCGTCAATATTCTTCGATGTCTAGTAATCAAGTCCATCAAACAGCATTACCGGTCCTACTTTCGCATGTCGTCCCACGTCGATTGCATTTCACTTGCAACGCGATATAAGTACTTAACTCGCGACGCGATATTCGCAATTCACTCGCGACGCGACATTCGTACTTTACTCGCAACGTGATATCTGTACTTCATCGCAATGTGATATTCCTACATCGATTACAATACGATATTTGTATTTTGCTTACGATGCGATATTGATATTTTAACGGAAATTAATGAAATAAAAATATAAAAGCTTGTAATATAAAGTTACAGTTAAGTAATAAGTTATTGTAATTTTATTTCCATCGATTTATTTCGTAACAGAATATGCAAGTTCTTTTAGTAAACGTTCAAAACAAAATCGTAGTTTGTAACTTTTTTAATCGTAGTTTGTAAATTTTTATCTATCAACAGCATTGCAGAAACATATTCGTGATTAGCATATAAAATATTACGAATTCGTCCCATATTATTCTATATGGACTGTACTTCATTGCACTCGCAACACAAAGGTGTATATAAAAAAATTATAAATTGACGACTGATGGAAGAATTTATTAACGCGAAAATAAGAAAAATAATCATCACTATTGCAAAATAATTTCTATTTCTTTGATATAATAGTGATGCACAAATGTATATAAAAAACAGCTGGTGAGTAAATTAATTAGATGCACGAAATTATTTATTATATGATCTGTCATATCATGACACCTCTTCAAAAATAATTAAAAAGAATTTATATCACGCTTGTAAAATAAGCGTGCTATCATGCTGCAGATGCAAGTATAAAAACCAAGTATCGCGAAATTTATTAACAAGAACGAAATTACCGCACGTTTTACATGTAGCAATAAAATTCTAATACAGAACTACTTTACAATATATTTCGCGAAATAATTACATATACCATTATATTTCGCTCAACGACTGGTATTTATATGCATGAAAAAAATTAACATGAAAATATCTACAAAATAAATCGCACTGATTTGAAAACATTTCGGAAATAACCAATCACCTAAAATATTTAAATCCATTTTTTATTGCATTCACCGAACGGTAGAACCGGTTTTGCAACCTCGGTTTATAATAAAAAATATTTTTTTGCGAGATAGATTTAAGGACACGACAAACAAGTGCGTAGAGATCAAATGAATCGACTATTTACGATCATAATTCAGGTTATTCTGATAGCTACATAACGATTTTTTATCACGAAATGTTAAAAATATAGAATGTATGATCTTACCGTCGAGGCGATTCCGATCGACCTGAACCGGATCCTCTGGTACTGCACCTGCGAACAGTCGAACTGCAACTGCCTCCTGCATGCTGTGCGGTTATAAGTCCTACCAGATCTGAAACATAAAACATAGTTCCTCTAATTAGTATTACAGTTATAGAGTTATATAGAAATTGCTTATTCTAATGGATTAATTAAGAATATGGAAAGAGGCGAGATGTATTATATGTTAATTTTCTTATTTTCAAATTGACTTCATATATAAATGTATAAAATGTGATAATCATTCTTAAAATTTTTATATTTCCACCGATCCAAATAATTATAGCGTTATAATCATGGCATAAAAATATCGTAAACTGTTTTTAGATACAACTTGAGCAATTTAGTAAAATTTAGTAAAATTAGAAGTAGCGAGTGATGTCATATGATTCGTTTACTTCTAAAACAAAAACTACTGATTCCAAATACATCATATTTACATGTATTCTGTTGAAGGTCACGCAACCTTCGGCGAGTCATGGATAAACGTCCTGCGACACACTGTGCTAAACTTAAGAGAAACATTATATCATAACTTATACAATTTAAGAAGCTTTTTGATATTTCGTATTACATTATATTATAATATTTAATTATTTATAAAGCGCATTCCATCGATAACTCCCCGCGCTCTGCTCATTGTACAGACACTGATAATCAAGTTTTAATAATTTTAATAATAAGCATTGAATTCTTTTCTACACCTTACATTAACAACCGAGTCTTATGTGTATACATTGTAATTCTTTTGTTAAGGGGGATGAGCGAGATAAAAGGATATAGATGATGTGACAAATACGTGTGTGCGCGTGTGTGTTACTATATTTAATCAATAGTAATTTTATGAATAACTCGAGAAAATTGATACAACATACTCTAACTGTAATATGTTGTAAATAATGGAACATGGGTATATCTCCGCGTTGTACTATGCGCGAACTAGTCTGGCTCGACATATTTAGATCCAATTGTTAACTTAAACTCGGCCTATGAAAGAGAAAGTGGGTGAAGGCTAGAACGAACGATTTGCCACAATTACTTGCAGTCTCCTTCGCGTATTACACTTCGCTAACGAAACAAGTCCCGCTGCGAGAAAGTACAAAGTGCCTAAAACACAATCGGCCAAGATTGGCCCGATGCACGCACACCGTTGCCAATCACACGCGAAACAAACAACCGTCATGCGTAATTATGCTTCGTTTGAATAATTGAGGGTTTTGTAGTCGGACACGCGGTAATATCTGACTACCTACTATACTTTTGTAATTATCGGACGAGAAAAGACAAGAATATGAAATAATATAAAAATTCAAAAGTACTGATTAGTCTTGATTTCCTTTTTACAGAAAAATATAAAAATTTGGAATCCATATGTGTGCAGCGGTTTATTTTATAAGCCAAAAAGTCTGCGAATATATTGTATTGTTTGCAAAATAATTTAAAATATTTTCTACTTTAATAAATTAAAATATAATAATGTGTATAAAAAATGATAATATCGTGTATGAAATAGTATCAGTAGCAACAAACGTAATAATAAAATTATTAATTTATTTCGTGTTTGTCTTTTGGTCCAATTATATATATCCTGTATAATTATAGGATATATATATATATATATATATATATATATATATTACTATATTATTATATAGAATAATCAGCCGTTATTCTGTTTAAGCAAGAGAGAGATCGGTCTTGTTTAACGTAGTTAAGAGTTAACTTTGCGAAGGAAAGTGTCTAATTAACATTCTGTTTTGTGATAAAACGCGACGCATAGATTAAACTCGAGTATGCATAGTTTCTCGAAATTACTTGTAGTCGCAGTACCGGTGGTGGTTAGAGTATATTATGCAATATCGCTAATAGGTGTATCTGCTATAAACTTGGCTGCATTCCATTAATGATACGGCCTTGCCCGCATTTCTTTGTAAACTGAAATTTGCTCGCGGAATCGTTCGCGGCTTGATTATCGCATCGAACGAATAAATTAGATTCACTACAGAGATAGATTAATGAAGTTTTATCTATCCTCCTTCTCGTGCTCTTTCACTATCGCGCCAGTATTTCAACTTAATCGGGCAGTTTGCACCGATATCTGATATATCGAAACTAGATATTCTAAATTATTGAGCATTATTATTATATATAGTTGAGGCGCGAGTGCGCGTCTAATGCAAACGGTAGCGAATCGGCGCGATGATTTATCGTAATGCAAATCGTCAGCAATCGCGACCGCGGCATTTATCGAGATCGCCGAGCCGGTAATTTCAGAATCGTGATATGGAAGTCACTCAATTGATTCCGATAGCCATTACGCGAAACACAAGATACAATCGCTTACTTCATCTTACGCTTAAGACACTCGCGCGTTCGTTTTGTTACGTCTAGACGCAAACATTCAACTGAACAGAGCAACTGGAATTCCTCATGTATTAAAAATCGATCGCGATGCCGTGCGAGTCGTTCTCGATTATGCTTTCATTTGGCTGTCGCCAAAAAACGAGTTACGGTCCGTGCAATTACAGTCGCGCGAATGCGTGTCTCGATTCGATGGATAATACAAATTCGCGTGGTTAATTGGCGCAGTGATCGAAATCTCTCTAGGCGCTTTCTAAGAAACTACGTCTGCGCACCTCTTATGGGACAAATTACAAGATCATACGCCCGATCGAAGTTACGCCGATCACGTTCCCATAAATGTTTTATGGCGTGGTTTCCGAGCTCGGAATGGATAGGGAACGTCTTGTTACGACTGAGCTCATGACCGCCAGGGGAATCGCCAGGTAACACTGAGACACCTAACTTTTTGTAGCGCGGCGAGTCTTTGTAAAATGCTAGAAAACACAGCTATCATTAATGAAAGGTATATGGAAAAAGGTACAAGTGCGGTTGGAAAACTAGTCAAACATGCTTTTAACGCAAGAGATTATTATTTCTAAGTAACGGTTGTAATGCCGAATATCGCAGATAATACAAGAAAATATAGCACGTGATATCAAAAGCCGTGCGAAGAATAAAATTAAAGGAAAGTCCGAATTTATAGGACTGAAACGTTATTAACTTGTATATTTGAATTTGTGTCGATTGATGAACGAATAATGTAATATTCAATTTTATTGCAATAAGAAATTGTATTTTCGTGCTGATATTTAGCTCTTATTCGTTTTTTGTTTTTATTTAATAAAATTAAAATTTTATCAAGATCAAAGGAAAATAATTTTTGGCACGATATTGTCCATCTTGTTTAATCGATAAAATATTAAAGAGCGCTGCGAGAGCGCAGGAAACGACAGGCGTTAACGAGCTTCTTGCATGATAACTGAGATATAAGCCGCCACAAAAAAATTTTGTTTTTTGCATATTCTAACAATGTGATGTAACAACGAGCGGAATGTGAATAGCTCGCGGCGACCAACAATGCGCTAATGCTTTCGAGAATCGTCAGGCCGTGAAGTCGTTCATCGACGAGGCACGGCCAACACCCGCACGGTAACGATGTAATGCCAGACGCTGGCTAGATCTCTTAGAAAGGAAAATGCCCGTCGATTGATTGATATTCAACCACGGCCGTTCGTAAGGCGTTATTGCGAGAAACCAAGGCAACTGTATTTCGCATACTACACGAGACTGTCGTCGCGTTTGAGTACCGCCTTGAAGCCTGACATTATCGCTGTTCGACAGGTACGAAAAATGATCGTGCTCTACATGGCTTTTACGATGTAATGTAGCCACAGGTACCGAAAGAAATTCTACTTGGAGAATATAAGCGCTATATTCTATATTCCATGTTAGTGTGTGATTTCGAGTTGTAAAGAGAAAACATTTAGTATATTGGGGTAAAGTTTAACAATATTGAAATACAAAAATTGAATTTTTATACCAAATTAAATTTTATCGAAAGGCAGATGGTTTCTCTTGTGCAAAATGCGCGTGTAAACGAAGTAGTTATATGGTTTATACAGTATATTTTATCGTTCCTTTTCGTTGAGTAATTATCTCGCTGCGGCCTTTCATTTTACACCGAAGAATAAAATCACTCACGTAGGTTCATCACGAAATGTAAGAGTCTTATTAATTAACAAGACCTCTTTCTTCCTGATATCTGTACCTTACGACAAAAACATGGAGAGTTAAAAAACCCGCAAAGTTAAAAGTCTCAAATATACATTGAATTTATAGTAAAAAATCATGAAGGCACGACGATTAAAAGGCGGTCGGTAATAATTATTTGACAAAACGTTAAAATATGAGACATAAATCGCATAAACATTTCGTTTATGCGTGCATTTGGTACAGGAAATATTATTTTTTCTTGACACACACGTATAGATTATTTTTCTTCATTCCTATATATCACATGTGATAATGTCTAAATGATATAAAACTACACACATTTCGCGAGTTCACCGTTGCGCGAATTAGCATACAGCGACAGCGTTCTCCACGTTCACGAAAGTAAAAGTTATCAGCTGGTACAATCGTATCCTACATAAATAAGTGAACCATAAATAATTCTGGGGAGTTGCATTTAATCGATCTGCAACATTACGGAACCGTCCGCGCTCGCTACTTTAGATCGATAAACCATACAAATGTACGGATATTACGGAAAGTTAGGTGCCGAAAACCATTATTTATTGCAAATCTCTGAGCGAAAAGTTTTACCTACGATTTTTTATTTATATTTTACGCGTACGCGTTTTTTATGTATATTTTTCAATTTTTGCTCATTATACGATATTATATTATATTCTATAATTTTGCAGAGAATCTTCTATGCATGTAATATATATAAGTATCTTTATTTTATTCACTTAGGAAACAAAGAGCTATCTATACTGTATAATACTAATTTTATATGGGAAGAATTCATTTAATATAATGAAGATAATGTGAATATAAGTAAATAATAGATAACATTTACGTAATGCCGAGACGATAATGTATCCGACATGCATGCTCTGAGCATGTGTAATATTCAATGGATGTGAGAACTTCCGGGGATTGTTTTCCCAAGTATTTATCATATTATGAAACGTTATGGCAAACGATGTTAAGTAAATTGACTTCCATGTGATCCAACATTTCTTAGGTCTAATAACTTCCCGTAACATAATTTCTTCTAGCTCTGTGACGAAAGTAGGCCAGTATCTCATTCTTTGTTTATTAGTACCGTCATTATCTGTCGTTTGAATCTGGTTTTAATCACTTTCTTTGAATATATAAATGTTTTATAAACGAGTAATTCCCGTCAAGTGTAACTGTTATTGGCAGTAATTAAATCAACTTTTTTCTCACTTATTTAGTATGGAACATTGTTCTCATAGTAATTGCTAAAAACTTATCTACGATTAATTAATTTAACGTTTTCCTAACGATACGTTTATTACACAGAGAAAAATACTTTGTTGGCACAGAAAATTGTCAATTACTATGGTAACAGCAAAAAGATTTGATATACGGAAAAAATGTTGCTGCATCAAAACGTCACTGTGACTGTGATAAAATTTAATTGGTATAACCAAATTATTTTTCTGTCCATATATCCAACAAATAGCGATTAATATTCTTAACAAATCTTTTCGTTGTTTAAACAAATTTTTCTGCTGTCGAAAAAAATTTTTTGCTATCCCTATAATAACTAACAATTTGTTATGCCAGCAAAATATTTTCTCTGTGTAAGATAAATCTTACATTTTCGGAAAGAAAAAAGAGAAGGAAGATATAAAATGATTTGCCTCCTAGGATGCAATCAACCAGAGTCCTGTAGGAGAAACCGAATTCCGGGATCGTAAACTCTAATGTTAATCGAGGTATTAGAAAGGAAAACTATATGCGCCCAGCACGTGCACTGATCAGTATCCGTGAAAGTCCAGAGCCCGGTTTCGCACGAGCCTATTGGGGAATCACTACGGTGATCTGTACCCCGGGCGCTTTCCAGCCGATGACTTGGCCGATGTGACGTTTACGTCGCGGTAACGGATATCCAGTCCCGTACGTAATAGCGTCCATAAGGCACTGGCTATAACTGAATGTCCTTCGAAAATGGCATTTACTGATGGTAACCGATATAAGGTGTTATGTAGGGCCGTAGAATATTATGAAATCCCATTTATGTTATGCGATATTTTAACGAAGGATGAAATACGCGGTTAAAAACAATTCGCTATCGTCAATAACGTTCATTTACGGATTAATAAATGTATAATTCATTTCATGCTAACGTCTTTATGTAGTATAATTAATCACTATCATAATATACGTCGAACTTCCGCGGAGAATTACAATTCATAATAATAAAAATAAAACATTTCCACCCAGTTATTTAATATTAACGTTCGCAATGTCACGTTGAGCTGCCAGATGTGACAGTATTTGTCGCTTTAACCTCTTAAAACGTCGTGACGCTCAATGCATCTTAATTAAAAGAGATAATTAAAAGCTTAATGACGCATTTCAGGTGCTTAGGACGCGCACTTTGAGTCGCCATGCACGAGAACACAGCCCTGCAACGTAGTTATCGAATACCTATGAGCCGTATAGTAGTTCGCGGGCAAATTCATTGGAACGCGCGGGCGTTAAAAGCCGCGCAAACTCCTTTCACCATGCCACCGGACCAACGGAGCATGCTACAGACGGATCGTTGTGTCTAACCGGTCGAATGACCACTCTCAAATGTGATTCACAGCTAAACCCGATCGACGGTCCCGCTCGCCGCTTGAAATCAGATTCACTGACGAACAAGAGCCACGGTTGTAGCGGATATTTCTAACATTATCCGGATGAATCAAATAATACTGATTACATACGTTTAATTAAGATGGAACATGTGATTTTGACGTTGCAAAGAAAAGATATTATGCTCTATAACGAAATGCCAATTCCAATGAATCTCATGCATTATTTCGTAACATGCATTATTTCGTTATTTTCACACAAGCTTAAAAATCACGTATTTTGCTTTGATATTATATATACTATATGTAAAATATAATTTCATATAAAATAATATATTTCTACCTTTTAAAAAAATATTTATTTGACATAAAGAATATTAATATATCGCATTGCATATAATACACAAAATGTAAATAACTTTCTACTTCAGCTCAAAGTTTGGTGCTGGTGATTAAGATTCAAATATATTACATGTATTATAGATCTTGAAAGCTGTAGTTATTATTAAAAGAAAAAGTCACTTTGCTTCGTCATGTTTTGGTCACTTTCGCAAAACGACATTCTGGTAAAAAAAAAAGAAAAAAAATTTAGGTAGATGAAAGAATAAGTTAACGATGACGTGACGAGACACTCGCAGGCAGGTCAAAATAATCGGTTTATTTTAGGCTCATCCGGAATTCGACGCGAAATTAAAAAGGTTGAGCGAGAGAAAGGATTATTTTCCAGAAAGGACGTCGTTTCTTACGTGTATCTGCTCTTCAAACCGGCGCGTCGTCGTCATTCGTTTCGCACGTTAAACTTAACTCGTTGCGTCGGAATTTAACGACGTTACCCACATGCAGTTCCTGTATTTTAATTCTCAATTAAATCCAACGCACGAATTCTGCCTTTTCGCTTTCAACGTGTCAAAATAATTTTTAAAACGGAAGTTGCTTTCTAAAGAAATTGTTGTGAAAACCAACTTATCGTTAAATATAATAAAATAGCGACTTTCATTAAAATGCATAAGAAACCGAAAATTCAATACTGAAATCAATATGAATTAAATGTTAATTTAATTAAATATTTACTTAAGTATTAACAATGTAATTAAGAATTTTAGTATAAATTAAGATAAGTACTTTTGTGTTACACAATATAATTATATTTTACAAAATATAATTAAGATAATAATATGTGAACAATATTTAAATAATTATCTCGTCAAAGAATCTTTAAAAGTGCGTAAGGATTTTACATTGGCATAGCTTCGAGTACATGATGGCATAACTTTCTACACATTGATATAGTTGCACGATACATTGCGATATTCGCACAATGCAACAAAATCGCGATACAATCCGCGAGAAATTATATGAACAGCTGGAGAAGCGAGGCTACGTACATTTACGCTTCGGTAGATTCGAGATTGACGCGATAAAATTGATCCGTTTTGCGATTTCGCGCCAGTCTAAATTGTTGTTTGCAATTATGACTCGGATGATGAAGTGGCTCTCATGTGAAAACGGCAGATAATTTATATTACGCGTATTTATGGTCGATTTGCCGTTCTCCTCATGCAACATTCCCAAAAGTATTTTTCTTGTCAACCTTATGTCGATTTTCCTATTTTTAGAAATCGTCGAATGAGTTAATTGATCGTCGATTGTTTCTCTCTTCCAAGTTCGCTCAATCGAATCATTGGGACATTGGGTTATAAAAGGCAGTTATTACTACATCAAAGTCACAAAAGCGTTACATCAATTGCAAAATGTGAAATGAGTTATGTCTATGTAACTTTATTAATTAAACAATTTAAAAAGATACGACATTAATTAGAATATCCCTTGGCTCCAACTAAGTGTAGCAGTTTCAATAGTTATTAAAAAATTTATTTGCAAGTTATAATTTAAGAACACAATTGATTTGTATTTGCATATTTTATTCGATGAAGCGGTTTGGTATTAAATAATTCGGACAAACTTTGAAATATATATTAAATCTCATATATTTCTAAGATCTGTTTAGGTTTCTAAGATCACTAGAATATCATGGTAGTTGGGCTAATTCTAGTTATATTTTACTTAAACGAGTTAATCTCAATATATTATATTTGTACACTTGAACTTAGAAAATAGACACGTTTATTCATACAGAGCGTCCTAGTTTACACGACTTTAATTTTAAAGGTTCTCTGAGCTCAATTTCAAGTTTCCTCAACAGAAATGTCAAGACATCAATAATTTCCGAGATACAAGCGATTAAAATAGTGAAGTTTCTGGCCAATTAAGATTCGAGCAATCAAATGAACAACAAAATTATTTTCTCCGATTTATTTCAAATGGACCTTAACCAAATTTTAATTTAAGACTTGGCTAAAAAAACATGTTAAAGATTGGAAAATTGTCATAAATAATAACTTCCTTTTTATTTATTTATTTGGCTAAAAAAAATAACTCTAAATTATTCAGGGAATCTCTCGGTAAAATTCAAATCGCGAGAACCAGGATGTCCTGTATATTAACTGTGTTCACTTCCGATATTTTTGTACTGATATCGCCATTTTATCTTCATTGCTCATTACATACAGAAGAAAAATAGAATAATGATTTCAGCGCGAAAGCGTCTAAAGCGAATGGAGTTATTATATGTTTGTTACTCTATGTGTATTATTTTAAGTGCAATCGCAATAAAAGATAAATTTTATATCTAACATTCATTTATCAAATCGTAAAAGTACAGTGAAAATAACAAGATGTTCGTTACAGGCACGTATAAATGCGGAATCAACGCGAATAAATGCACCATTAATCACGCAAGTATATGGTAAATCACGCAAGTATATTAATGAATTTACCCACTAGCCGTTGCGGTCACTGTCATCTCCCCATTTCCTCGTTTGATTGACGAATTTATTTGAATTTCACCCGAAGATTACGCACTCGTAAAAATGTACGTGTGCTCGGTGACGCCGCCGATCGAAATGGACGATTACGTCGCATTTTAGAAATGAGCTGAAGTTGGCTTTCAACGTCTGTTCGAAAACATAACTCTTCCCAAGTTCCCACATATATCCGCTTCGACGCGAGAGCGTGTGTGGTCCGGTTTCTAATGAATTTCATTTCAGGCCTCGTACGTCAACCCATAACGACTAGTTACGAAAATAATACATTATTTCTTTTCAGACGCATTCCTTTTCTTATAATTTCTCTCTTTCCTCTCTCCCTTTTTCGATATTCCGAATATGTACGTAGGTCACTTTAAGTGCAAACAGTGTCACAAAAATGCAGCAGATAGGAGCAATTCTGCCTCCTCCAATTAGCGTTAACCGTGAAGTAGATATATGTATGACGTAGTCAAACGTTCATTTTCGAAATCTCGCTTGGACGATGATGCTCGCTATTTGAACGGTTCCGTATGAGTTGACACTGCAAGGCCACGTTCGACGAATGACACGAAAGCAGAGCACGCGAGATATTTATCTAATGGTAAGGAAACGCTCGCGATGTACGCCTACGCGTCAATACGTCCACCCGCGAATCGCCCGTGAATATTTTTTCGATACGAGTGTTTGTAGGTAATGTACAAATATGGCCGAGTCACTTGTCCTTCGTACGGAAACGATCGGGCAATGCCTAGTAGACAGCGGGGAGAGAGAATGCGTTAGTGTCAGCCTCAAATTCCATTGTTTTGGAAACGTTATCAGCAATACAGCAGAAAAAGAGGTTAGTGTCCGCTGTCTCCGAAGGGACGGATGCCCAGTCAAGAACCGAATAACGGCATAGCTGCGAGAGAACATATTACGTCTTCTGTTACATGGCTAGACAGGTTAGTTGGGCTATTTCCATATATAATTTAATTAAATAACCAACTTCGCTAATTTACCACATATGAGCATAAATTGGATGTGTGTAATATTTTTACTAACGTAGCCTCTCTCTTTATGAGGTTATGTTTGTGTATGTGATATATGTATATATGTACTGTCTGTTGCTATGGGTGTGTGTTGGTTTATATATGTATTTTATTCAGTACAATTATATGTATATTCACGTTAGCCTTTCCCAACTAATAGAAAGGATATTTCATGATTATTTCATGTGTGTCATATCGCACGTGTTTAATCAATTTCATGTGTTTATAAACTAACATCTTAATGCGTGTTTAGACAATGTGGCAACAATACATCGGTGACGTAACGAGAATATAACGGGGAAACAGTGCAACAAGAGTACAACGGCCAAGCTGTGCAACAAGAATACAATGGTGAAGCATTGCAACGATTAGTGAGTGAATATTTATCGATTATATTCGCCTTGCACGAATTATATTCTCCATACTAGCCGCGAATATAATCGCGTCCTTGCCGGGAACTTTATCCCATGATATTGCGTACATGAGAAATTCACGGCACTGTTCGGGCAATTAAACGCTTGGTTATATGGTGCCCGGATAATCGCGGACAATCGATTTAGCGCGGTTAAAAGGTATTCGTATGATCGCGACTCCGCCGTACGATTTTTGCACGTGGAGCGTGCCCTCCCCCTCTTTTCCACCTTCGACGTGGTCGGACACCCAATTGCGAAAGAAATTGCGGACACTTTCACTTCGCGGCGCCCTATCCTGAAGTTACACCGGGGATCCCGATCCGGCTCCCCGTGTTCATCCAGCCGTGTTAATTATCGCGCGAATCTAACGAGCCATTTTCACGTGGACGTTGTTAGCTCTTCGCGCGTCTCAGCATGCTACGGAGAAATGCTATGTGTGAACAATTTTCTTTTTCTTTATTTATATATATAAATCGTGTTTTTTTATAACCTTCACGCGATCGTGACCGTACGCTGCGCGTCGCTAAGACCTGTTTACGAGTACGCGCTGGCCACATGCCTGTGTATTATGCGCGTGCTATAATATTAATTATGTCGCGAACGAAGACATAAATAAGGATTTAACGATATGGAAATCCGAAGCCGCTTGATTCGTTATTAGGGGATTAATTAATGTCGAATAATCATGATTTAATGAACGATGGTCATAATTTTGTTTGGAAGAGATGGAATCTTATCTGTTGAAATGAATATTCATGTATGTAAATAGCGTTGTCTAATAAGGGAGACACGTGTTTTAAAAGGCGTATCTTATGTAAAATATATATATAAAATATGAGAAAATACGCAAGAAAATATAATATAGGTTTTACCATGGAATTGTTAAAAGTTTCTGAGTATATGTTACATACTTTAGCAATAATATTAGTAATGTGTCTCATTTATTAAAATGTCTAAATGAAATATCTAATTTTTTATAAAAGCATGTTGTACATTAGTTATACTAGGATTATTCAATTCGAAATGCAGATATATAACTTGTGCAAATAAGCCACGCCCACACACGTTATTAAGAGCTGTACAACATGCTACAGCTGTTATATTTCTTGCTATTTTGCATAGATCGCTACTGATATTTATTAACATTCAAGTACTAAGTAGACACGCACGAATTAACATGGAACGCGGATTTTTGCGCGCCCTTTCTTATGTGAGTTTCTGTCGATTGTAGTTAGTTTATTGCAATTAATTAGTATGCGTGCGATTTCACGTTGTCCTTTCTAATTCGTTCGAAAACGATTTCCGCTAAGATTGTTCTCGCGTAATGTAGCAATATGAAAGTCGTTAAAATTAAAGCAAAGTAATGATCGATAATTAAGAAACTAATTAAGAACGGAACCTTTATTATGCAAATCAATAAGTTTCGCGATCAAGAAGTGCTATCTAAACTTACACGATTGATCATATTATAACGCGAATAATCCACAAAAACATATTTTTGTGTGAGTTTATTTACCGAGATTTTCTCCTCGGAGGATTTAATCGGTTAGTACATGAGGGATGCGCATGTGAAATTATTCCGAAGGATAATGCACGTTCAGTAAGATATCATTACTGCTTGTCTTGAAAAAATAGCCAAACGTGCGGACAGAATTTTGAATAGTAAACAATACCTATTATTCTCAAATTAAAGAAACTAAATATTTTTATGTTTATATTTTTATAATTGCAATGTAACTCTCCTCGAAGAATTTTATAAATGAACATGAGATTGTAATATGCAGATCTATTGTGTGGTGATAAATTATCAAAATTCGTCGTCTTCCGGCAAGCTTATAAACGTTTTAAAGTTACATCAACGTTACTGATCGCTTGAAATCAGGTAGATCATTTAGCAAGATTAATGGATCTTGTACGCCAGCTGTTGGATGATTTCAAGCTATAAAATGTCTCGATGTCCGTTAGATATATTGTGCATAGTTGCGTATAAAATCATCGAACGTGGTCGCTGTCGTGTAAAAATTACTATTTTAAAAAAGAAGCGCATCGGCAGTCCTTTTTGTCTTTTTGCGAGGCGAATGTCGTTTTCTTGAACGTACCGCTCGTATATGAATTCTTGTATCGAATTCTATTTTAATTATCAGGAAGAAAGAGGAAGAGAAAAACGGCATGAGCACGTATGCTTAAGTGCATTTGAGCAATTAAAGTCACGAAAGTTTATAACGATTCAGTTTCACCGGCACGACGTTAAGAGTCAGAGAATTACTTTGAACAAAAATATCAGTCGATTCGCTCGACGTACTGGGAAAACTCGTGTGGTTAAGCAAAGAAAAATATTTATATATATTATATATAAAAAATATTTGTATATATTATATCGAAGAGATTTGTATATACAAGGTGTCTGAAACTTTTCGGCCAATCGCTCATGAGAAGGTTAAACTGAGCAGAAAACCATTGTACCATTTTCTGAAAAGTTTAAAACATTCTGTATAAATTATATGATATTCGACTCCACTTTTTTAAAAATGACTTCCCTTCTTTTCTTAAATCGATCATCAAATATCTAATACACAAGAACATAATTTAAAATATACGTTATGTTTCGTGCGAGTCCATTAAAAAGTTAGTAATATCAAGGAAAATTTTTCAGAATTATTATGTATATGTAAACAAGTGCAATGAGGATCAGTGTGTAAGCCCACGCGCAATTTTCCTTTCGCGTCACGTTACGTTGGTTATGTGTATAGTCCGAAGCTAGAAAAAGAGCGATATTCGTGCAGCTTTAATTGCTCTCGCGAGGATAGCTCTGTTGCAACATATATACATATATACGTTAGTTGGTTAATTAATTTCCGCGAAAGCGCTTCTGCCGCGTTCCAATATTATATATCGCAGTAGAAGCAAGTGCAACTAAAAATGATGCAAAACAGATAGACCGGTTATCAATACAACAGGCTCATCCATGCGTCACTAATTTTGTCGATGGGGATTCACGTCTGATGTAATGTTTATATATTATTTTTTATCGTTTTTCAACTTTCTCCCTCGTTGTTGCAAATGAACACCAGTGACTTTCAAAGTAGTCGCTAACGAAAAGCAGGCGTGCACTTTCAAACGGACGAATAGCGGAATAATAAATGGCACTTTAATTTCCTGTTCTCTCGCTGCTTAACTATTTCATCGGTCGTTCGCCGAGCGGAAGAATCTCGAAGGCTTATTCGGCCGGTCCGACCACATCGATTAGAGATAAAATCATTACTTGTTTCCGGCAAATTCGCATTATCGCGCTGATAATGTCAGGGTGTTATTTCCTGTTGGTGTTTGATCACTCGGCCGCGTTTATCCGTGCACACTAATTCTTCTGGTTTCCGACGCATCCGCTCGGCGTAACATGGTCCGTAACAAGTGTAGCCGCGTACGACCTACGACGTATCGCAAAAGGCAACGTTAATAAACACTATCCATTTTTAGTGCGCATTAACGTCGATTGCAATACGCTTCGGCAGCCACACGTCGAACTTTCTCCGCGATTACACGCACGTTCTAAGAGCGCGGATATCTGCGTGTGCCGTTCTATCAACGAGTATCAGCGAGAATCGACGCACATCTGTATCGTCGTTCACGCGCTATGTTATGTGAAGATAGTTTGCAGCACAGTACAGGGTGTCCCGTGTTCGCTGAACTTTGAAAAATCGACAATGGATTGTTTCGTAATTTCAAGTTGAGAAAAGAAATCGAATTCGGGGCTACATAATAAATGAATAGTTTGAAGACAAATGAAGTGACAAATGAAAAATTTTTATTTTTATAATAATTTTTTAAGTATATTTTGTTTTCGAAGAAAGAATAATGTATAAATAATTATAATTATTATAGGTAAAACTTTAACTATAGTAAAAAACATTTTTCCTTGTGTTAAAACCGGTTCTCATTAAAATTTTTGTGTTAAATTTTTAACACATCCGTGTGTTAATTTAACATATTGTGTTTATGACATCTCAACATTTTATGTTGTGTCGTAATCAACATGTGTAAGTGTTAAAATAACATATTTCAGTATCAATTAACGTATTAATTTTGTGTTAGTTTTTGACATCATATTTGTGTTATTTTTCAACATATTTACCTTGTGTTAAATTAATACAAAAATTTATGTGGACCGTTCGGGACATGCGAAATGTGTTAAATTTAACACAAAATGTTTTACTATCTACGTATAAAAAATGTAAATATAGTTTTAACAAAAGTTGAATATATTTTTGAAGAAAATTTTTTTCATATTTTTTGTTGTAAAATAAGAAGTCACATCTCAGAAGATTTTTGGCCCATAAGTCGATTAACTTTTGTGTGAAAATATTATCCTGTATATAATTAACGAATTTCTCCTGCCAAGTATCTTAAAGTCCAATTAAGAAGGCGGCGCTTCGTGCAGGCCCCTTTTATTACAACGTGTAATTTTCGGCATGGATATTAAGCTCCGTTTTACCGCCGAAAAGCTCCTTGCGCCAAAAATGTTTTCAAGAGGAACTAATTAGCCACGCTACGCTAATTAATCCTTGCCGGCGAGTAACGGCCAAGGGGTTAATGCGATCATAAACCGACACTATACCGCTCTTACAAGCCGCATTCCGTCCGTGTGCAACAATAATTAGCTTCATAATTCGTGTTAGCCGAAATAACATCTTACCATTCGTATCTCTCACTTACAGCTGGTTCCAGATAAAAATTGCAATATGGCGTTGTGTGAAAAACATCTAAAGAAAAAACTGCAAAATTATCGGGGTTTTCTACAGCTATCTCTTTCGTAGTCGGTAATGCGGATGAAAAGACGCGTAGGAACGCGAAGACTCGCCTCCTCGAATTGTTTATTAGGTGCTTGCTCGATGGTTAATGGAAGTTTCATGAAACGCCACTCGCACGCGATGCTGCCTCGGCTACGTAATCGTTCTAATAGC